GCATTGCCCGTCGCGCCGGAAGCGGCGCTGAGACCGCTGAGACCGCCGCCGCCGCCGCCGAGGGCTGAGCCCAGCGACGTCGAGAGCAGGCTGGGCGAGGCTAGCGGCTGCGTTGCCGCGTTGGAACTCGCCCCGGCGCTGGTGCTGAGGATTGCGTTGGTGTAGTTGTGCAGGATGCCCGATGCCGTCACGGCGCGAGAGACGGGCGTGGCGGGTCGAGAGATGACCGAGGGCGACGCAGCCCGCGACCGGCTCGCACGCACCGAGGTCATGGCAGCGGCGGCAGCCGAGGCCGTGGCACCCGAGCCTCCTGGCGTCGTGGCTCTCGACCCGAGCTGGCTCGGCCGGTAATGGCTGCCGGAAAAGTAGGCGCCATAGGGCGCCGCAGGCGATGCCGAGGCAGTGAACGTGTGCGTCGGCGAGGGCATGGAGATTGGCGTCGGCATGGCCGACGAGCCGTTGCTGCCGCCCTGCTGCTGCTGCTGCTGCTGCTGCTGCTGCTGCTGCTGCTGCTGCTGCTGCTGGTGCTGATGCTGGAAGTGCTGCGCCGCCAGCAGCGACGGCGACGTCAGGCTAGCTCCACCGACGCCGAGACTGGACGTGTTAAGCAGCGTCATGGGCGAAACGGCCCGCCGCTTGTACGCGCTGTTGGCGTACGGCTCGTATCGATCCTCGCCGCCCATCATCTTGCGCTTCGAGGTGCGTGTCCACGGTCCCGGCGAGTGCGAGGTCGCCATGAGCGAGGCCTTGGGCGACGTCTCCATCTCGACCGGCAGTGTGTGGCCGGGCGTGCGAGCGCGGAAGAGGCGGTCCGTGCTGGGGCTGGCGCGGTGGTGATGGGCTCGTGACTCGCGGAAGCCCATCCAGAGCGATCCTTTGCGTTGTTTGGGCAACGATGACGAGCCCTCGGTGGCCGGAGCGCTGCCTGGGATGGTCGATACCTGTGGCGCCGCATCCTCTGCGACATCGTCTTCGTCGCGCATCGCCGTTTCATCATCGCTACCTGCCCCGTTGGCCTGCTGCGCTTGTGCCGCGGCCATGTCCTCTTCGCTACTGGACTCGCTGCCGTCGTCGCCGATGCCGTCCATGTCGAGCGAGTCGTAGTCATCGTCGTCCCATCCCCATTTGCCGCCGCGGCCAACGGATGCGAAGCCGACGGTGCCGTTGCCCGCACAGCCGGCGAAACCGCGCGCGCCCTGGAAGGGAGACCGCATCTTGCCTGCGCCCAGCCCCCCTAATCGCGGTGTCCTCGGCAACGACGGGTCGCCTCCCAGCTTCTTCTGGAGCTTGGCTTCAGATGCGATCTCGCTGTCCTCGGGCTTCTTTTCGTCCTGCAGCGTGGCGGCCACGCGCAGCACGCCCCGGTCCTTTGGCATGAGGTTGCCGCGGCGGTTGACGGCCCGCTTTGTCACGAGGGACCCGGCCAGGCTGTTTCGAGCAACGTTAGACCCGGATCGTGACCGGTTGCCAAAGCTAGGGCCGGTGGAAGTGCCTCCGGGGCTCGGCTGTGCCACTCCTGGCGAATCGGAGCCTGTGCGCGTTCCACCGGCGTTGTCAGCGCCAGACTCAGACGAGCTGAAGCGGGCGAGGTTCCCCGGCTGCGGTGGTGGCGGCGTGGTGGGTGGATGTTGAGGTGGCCCCATGAAGTCGGAACCATCCTCGTCCATGTCCACGTCTTCGTCCTGATCCTCGGCCGGGGCACCGGGTGCAGCAGGTCCTGCAGTCATTTGAACGTTCGGAGCCTGTGACGAGCAAGAAGCGTCGGGCGTCGCGCTGGCGTTGTGCGCGCGTAGCGGCTCGAAGCCGATCTGCCTTTCGACAGTCGGCGGGCCTCCAGATTGGCCTTGCCCGCCGCTTTGGCCGTCCATCGACTGCTCTTCATCCTCGTCGAGCTCAAAAGGTGTGATCTCGCGCCCCAACATGCTGCCGCGGCGCAGCCGTGCGGACGAGGATGCCGATGACGATGAGGTGCCCTTTTTCGCTGTCGCTGTGCTGGGTGAGGTGTCTGCAGTCGCTTGCCCCGAAATCTGCTTATGGGCCTCGCTCAAAGGCCCGCCGTTTGCGGCTGCGGCTACAGTCGCGGCTGACCTGCGGAGGAAGGTAGATGATGGGGCCCAGGCGCTGCTACTGGAAAGCGTGGGCGAAGCTGCAGAGGTGCGATTGGGATTGGTGTCGGCGGATATGTCGGCGGTCGAGGAGAAGCCGAGCCCGATGTTGTCGGGAGCGTCGCTCTGGCCTGCGCCGGCGCTAAAGTGGGATGAGAGCTTCGAGGGCGATACGAGGGGGTTGTGCTGGTGCTGGTGCTGCTGCTTCTTGTTGGGCGACTGGAAGGGTATCGATATGGGTGAGGCAGAGGGTGCGCCGTGCAGCGCATTGCTGGAACCGTGCTGGCCGGCTACGGGAAGGGCAAAGTCGGCGAGCGAGGTGGTGAAGCCCTTTGTGGGAGAGGAGCGCAACGCTGCGGCGCTCGAGTCGGCAGACGAAGATGAAGACGAAGCGGTCGGAGAGGCCGGGAAGCCGTTTGGTGGGGGGCAAAGAAGAGGTGCTTGGTGGGCGACTGGCTCATGTTGGCGGCGGAGAGCAGAGAGTAGTCGTCGGAACAGCGGGAGCGGCAGGAGCAGCAGGAGCAGGAGGCTAGGAATCAGGCGAACTGCCTCCGCTGCCACCGTGGGCTGCGGTCGTGCGTTGGAATAGAGCGGCGATGCCGAGGGCGTAGCGATGAGGCTGGCGAGGTTGACGACAGAGGGCGGGGAGCAGCTTGCGGCAGCCTACGAGACGGCATCGTGCTCCGGGGCAAGCAGTCCCTCGAACCAAAAGCTTCTTGGCGTGGCTGCAGTGCGTCCCTCTTTCGGAAAGCGACCGCGAGCTTGATAACAATCTTCGGAACAGCCCCGATGCGCAGGTGGCCACCTTGTCGACGGCAAAAGGAGCGACGCGGGTGAGCCGAAACCAGCTCCTAGTAAGCAGGTCGTGCACTTGCTTGGCAGGCTGCCGGGTGGTCGGGCGAAAGGGGTGGATAGGCGGGCGATGAGGCCGATAGAGGGCTGCGCCCGTGTGTCGGGGCGGGGAATGTAGCACGACCTGCCTGCCGCTTGGTCGATGATTGGGTCGATGTGGGCTGTAGTGATGGAGATCGAGGTGGAAGCCAGTCTTGTCTGTCCAACAGGTGATCCCGAGGGGCAGACAGCCAGACGCCGCCGGAGGGAGGAGGACCCTGGTGACGGACAGACGGACGGACGGCCGAACGGCGGGCGGGGATCCGATGATTTCACGCTCTCGCCCCTCGCCGACGTGGCGCCCCTCCTCCCCCCTGCCGCTAGTTGACCTCGTCCGAAGGACAGGCAGGCGAGCTCACAACAGCGCCCTGCTTCTAGCACGCATCAGGTCGTGCCCGCTTGCCATGCCCGCTACGACGGATCAAAGCTCAAATAGACAGACACGGCTCCGCATAGACTGGGCTGCTCCATTGTTGTCGCTTCAGACGGCGGGCATCGGTGGTATCGGGACCTCTCGACAGACGCCGCCCTCACACAGGCAGCTTGCCGGCAGTCTCTCTATTGCTCGGACCCGTCGCTGATACAGAGCAGAAACACAAGGAAGCGACGAGAAGGCAGGGCAAGGGCAAGGGCAAGGGTATCTCCTACTGGGTCGAGATGGCGCCCGCCCCCTCGCCGACGGCCTCGCTGCGGATCTTGAATCCCTTGCTGAGCAGGTGGTCCTTGACCTCCTGGATGGTGCACTCCTTGCGGTGGAAGATGCCCGCGGCCAGGGCTGCCTCGACGCTGCTCGTCTCGCCCTCGAGCGGCGTAAAGACGTCCGAAAAGTGCTGGGCCGTCCCCGCACCTGTCGCAAAAGGCGGCCACAGAGGAAGAGTGAGAATTTGGGGGGGACGATCAGCTAACACTGGTCGGCGTCGGTCGAAGCTAGGCTGCTGCGGGTCCTGTGCAATACTCACCGGAGCTTGCGATGACGGGGATGTCGACGCTACGCCTGATGAGCTCAACGAGCTGGCGGTCGAAGCCCTTGTTGGAGCCGTCCCGGTCGATCGAGTTGAGCAGCACCTCGCCCGCTCCCAGCCTCTGCACGCCTCTTGCCAGCTGCACCACGTCGACGTCGCGGTCCTCGCGACCGCCCTTGACCGTGCACCGGTACCACCATCGCTTGCCCTCGTCCTCGCTTCCCTTCACGCCCTCGACCAGGCAGGTCCGGTGGGCCTCGGGGACCTCCTCTCCATCCTGCAGGTAGACCCGTCGCGGATCAAACGAAACCACGACCGCCTGGGCGCCGTAGCCCTTGGAGATGGTCTCGATCCCCGTCTTGCCCGTTAGGCAGGCATCCTTGAAGTTGAGCGGGTTCGCCTCGTCGCCCTGTCCGTTCTCCTTGGCCCTCTGGTAGAGCTCCTCGACCGCGTAGACGGCCTCGCTGCCGATCGACACCTTGTCGGCGCCGGCGCGGAAGTAGGCGTCGGCCACCTCCTTGGCCGGACGCGGCGTGCCGTCCGGATCGACCGAGTCCTTGATTCCTCCGCCGATGGTGAGCGGCACAAAGATCTTGGACGCCGCCAGCTCGAGCAGGCTGAGCATGGGCTGGTCCTGCAGCGCGCAGGACCGGAAAGAGGTGATGTTGAGGAAGGTGATCTCGTCGGCTCCCTCGAGATAGTAGCGCAACGCCAAGTCGACCGGCTTGCCGAGGTTGCGGACCTGTCGCTTGCCACCCTGTGGTGCTGACGAAGACGCGGCGTTGTCCTGCTGCGGCTCCTCCTTCTCGCGCACGTCGTATGACTCGCCCTTGGTCACGACGAGGTCCCCGTCGTCGTTGCTGCGCACGTCGAGGCAGGCCACGATGCGCTTGGTGAGCCCGTCCTGCGCGGCGGGGCGGGCGATGTCCTCCGGGCTGAGCAGCAGCCTCTCCTTGGCGGGCGCCAGGGTGCCGTCACGGCTAAGCCAGGCACGCAGCAGCTCGAGACCGGCGCGACCGCTCTTCTCGGGGTGGAACTGGGTGGCGAACACGTTGCCCTTCTGAACCGACGAGACAAAGACCTCGGAGCCGTACTGGGTCGTGGTGAGAGCCCAGTCCGAGTGCTTGGAGGCGTCGAAGCCAGCGCGGAACGAGTGAACAAAGTAGTAGTGGCTGCTGTCCTTGGCATCCCTCGGCGGGAAGCCGTACTTGACGGCGTCCTCATCGCCGCCGTCGCTTCTCGTCTTGACGACCTCGGCCGTGTTCCAGCCCATCTGCGGGACGGACTTGCGCCCCATGCTGTCGTTTGCCGAAAACTTGCCAATGACGCCGGGGACGACGCCGAGGCCAGGCTGGCTGGGGTCCTCCGCGGACCCCTCAAAGAGGCACTGCATCCCGACGCAGATGCCCATGTAGGGCTTCCCAGAGGCGATGTACTGCTTGAGCGGCTCGGCGAAGCCGTTGTTGCGGAGCGATGTCATGGCCGAGCCAAAGGCGCCTACACCCGGGAAGATGAGTTTCTGGCGTTGTGCAAGGTTGAGGGAGGAGCAGAGGTCAGTGCGGTGTGCGAGACGATCCTGTGCCATGCCGACGACGATGCGAGCCTGAAAGGTGTACTCACGTCGGCCTTTTGAATGTCATCGGGGTGCTGGACCCACTTGAACTCGAAGCCGAGCTTGTTGATCGAGTTGGCCAGGCTGCGAACATCTGCGAGGCGGTCGGGCGAGGGACGAAGCAGGCATCAGCACAGGAGAGGTCAGAGATGCTCTGGTTGCAGCTTAGCTGGACCTTGGCTGCGCTTCACTCACTGCCGGCGCCGTAGTCGAGGAGGTAGAGCATGCTTCGCGAGCTGGTTTCGACCGGACGACGGTCGGATCGGACGAGGGCTGAAGCTGTCTTGTTGTTGCTGGGGGTGAAAGAGGGTGCCGTCCTGCTGCCTCTTTTTTAAGTTTCGGTGCGCCTTGCTGTGATGGAGGTATATCGATGCTCGTGGTCGGTGGGTCAGGTCGAGGGACGTCGAGTCGGGAGCGAGTCACGGACTGGCCGCACGGCTTTCTTCCCAATTTTTCGGCTGGGCCCGAGGTGTTGGTTGGTTGTTCGGGCGCTTGGCCGGCTCGACCGACTGGCCGACTGGATGGCTGGCTTGGCGTGCGGAGCCGAAGTCGGGCTTGGGCGAGCCGGCGTGCGTTGCATGCGTGTGTGGGTGCGAGCGTGTGTGGAGCTCGAGAGGGCGGGGGCCTGCCAGGCCGGCCGGGGCATGACGTGGGGCTGCGTGCCTTCCGGCCTCTGTTTCGGAGGCCCACCCCTGCCCAGCAGCCAGGCCTGCCTAGCCTGCCTCTGCGTCCGACGAGGAAGAAGAAAAAGTGACAAATGCGAATGCGACGCGCTCGTCCGCCGACACGATGGCCTGCGGGGCCCTGGCCCTGGCCCTGGCCCTGGCCCTGGCCCTGGCCCTGGCCCTGGCTTGGCTTGGCTTGGCTCGCCTTGCTGATTGCTTTTTGCAGGTGGATGCACAGAGAGCAAGCAAGCAAGGAGGTGGTGGATGCTCGCCCTCGTTGCGCCGGTTTGCATCCGACCACCACCATCATCGCGTCGCTCTCGGCCTCACTCCGTCCCACCCTCAAAACAGGCCAGGCCGGACCATCCTCTGGCGTCGCAGTCGCAGCCGCGGTCGCAGGCATCTCTGAGCAGCCAGGATCTCCAACACCGGCCACCGTACATCGTCGTCTCCCACGAGGGGTGACCGACCATCGACCCACCGTCTCCGACCATGGCGGACCCCACCGTGGAGCACGCCATCAAGCCCGCCGACTTTGTCAAGCCTGGCGGCGGGTTCACCGGCTTCCTCCAGCTCATCTCGTCGCTCCTCTTCAAGCTCACCGTCTACATCTTCCTCCGCTGGATCCCCAGCCGCGCCGCCCACCCCGTCATCCCGGCGCTCTACACTGTCTACCTCTTGACGTCGCTGCTCCGCGACTACCGCCTCCGCTCCGCCATCCGCAGGTACCTCGAGCAACACGACCTCGCCGACCCCGACGCCTCGACCCACCTCAAGCAGCTCGCCGAGCGCATCGAGACCTCTGAACCCAAGCTGCAGGACAAAAAGGTAGGCGAGCCCGTGTCCAACTCGCCTTCGCCCGCGGCAAAGGGCCAGCAGTCTCAGCCCGCCTCAATCAGCAAGGGCAAGGGCGCTCCCAGCTACGCAAAGGTGGCCGCCGAGGGCAGCGAGGCTCTCAAGGGCGCCAGCGACAGCGACAGCGATGCCACAGCCGTCGCCGGCGGCAAGCCCAGGGCAGCAGGTCCGCGCCGCAAGGTGGGCCGTCTCACGATCCCCGAGATCCTCAAGGCCCTCGTCTTTGGCGTCTCGACCCGCTCGCCCCGCCTCAACTTCTACATCCTGCTCGCCCACACCATCGCGCTCGCCATGTTCCTCGACAGCTTCTTCTCGCCCTACCTCTTCCCCTCGCACTGGGACTACAACCTCTCGTTTGCCCGCGTCGGCGCAATCAGCCCCACCAGCGCAAAGGTCCACGTCCGCTACCCGCACCCGCTGCCGCCCTTTGACGGCCTCCAGGAAGACATGTCGGACGAGCTCGGCTTCTCTGGCATCCTGCGCGACGGCCTCCAGGCCAGCCCTGAGCCCGTCAGGGTCATCTGGCGCAGACTGCCGGAGCTGGGCGAGAGGCAGTTCCTTCAGGACGGCGCCGCGGCGGGACTGGAAAAGGAGACCGGCCTGTCGCGACGCTGGGAGCGTGGGCCCCTGCTCCGCCTGACCGAGGAGACCGACTGGACCACGACGGCCGTCCTCGACAACCTCTGGCCCTCGACCAGGTACGAGTGGAGGCTCGCCTTTGTCCACAACAACACCTTCACGCCCGTCCCCGAGCGCGCGCAGCAGTTCACCACCTGGCCCGACCCGAGGCTCTCGCAGTACCTGCAGACCCGCAACGCTGCCGTTGCCCGCGACTCTGACGAAATGGGCATCGAAATGCCCAATGAGGACTCCAGCCCCGTCGACGACCCCAACCACTTCAGCTTTGCCTCGACCTCGTGCGTCAAGCCCGACTTCCCCTACCACCCCGCTCAGTTCTGGGCGTGGAACTGGCTGCTTAAGCTGGCCGGCATCGGCTCCGAGCCTGGCGGAATCGCCCAGCGCAACCGCATCCCGGGCTTCGACCTGCTCTACAAGCGCGCGATCGAGGGCAAGGCCAAGCCGTCGCTGCGCTTCCTGCTGCAGCTGGGCGACCTGATCTACGCCGACGTGCCCCACTACGGCGGGCCGACCAAGGATGCGTACCGCAAGCTGTACCGCAACCTGTTCGCGTCGGACTCGTTCCGCCGGGTGTACGAGAACCTGCCGACGATTGGCATCTACGACGACCACGAGGTGGTCAACAACTGGAGCGGCAAGACGGCCGACGGCACGACGCTCGAGTCGTTCCCGCCCGCCAACACGGCGTGGAAGGAGTACGTCGGGCTGGCCAACCCGGACCCGCTCGACGAGGGCGAAAACTACTACACGTTCCGCTACGGCGGCAGCGCGGCCTTCTTCGTCATGGACACGCGCAAGCACCGCAGCCATTACCAGCAGGACGACGACGAGGACAAGACGATGCTGGGCGAGAGGCAGAAGGACGCCCTGCTGCGCTGGCTGGGCGCCGTCAACTCGACGTCGGTGTTCAAGTTTGTTGTGAGCTCGGTGCCGTTTAACACGCTGTGGGGCGGCCCGCTCGACTGGGACGGCCAGAAGGACAGCTGGGCGGCGTACATGAGCGAGCGCGGCCAGCTGGCGAGCGTGATGCAGTACGTGCCCAACCTCATCGTGCTGAGCGGCGACCGGCACGAGTTTGCGGCAACCAGCATCCGCGACACGATCACCGAGTTCAGCACCAGCCCACTGAGCATGTTCTGTGAGTCTGCCCGCTGCTCTGGAGATAGGCGGCCGAGGACGCAATCAAGGGCTTCGCGCAAGACCGTGGCTGACATGGATCACTGACCACCTTCTCTCGCTCGAATGAACATCGACCGCAGACCTGCCCATTCGCACGCTGGCCGAGGACCACGGCGCGGGAGCGTGGGGCGAGGACAAGCTGTACAAGTACATTCCGGACGGCAACCACAAGTGGTCCGAGTTTGAGGTCGAGTGAGTAGACGTCCACGAGCCGCGCCTCGCCTTGCCTCTTTGCGTGCTTGCTTGCTAGCCATGGACGCCCTTGCTGACTTCCGAGGTGCCGCTTTGCCCCCCCTTTCGCATTGCGCAGCACTCGCGACCCGTACAAGCCCGTGGTGCGGGTGTCTGTGCAGGTCGATGGCAAGGAGGCGTGGCAGGTGTCGTTGCTGGGCAAACCGGTGCGGCGTGCCGAGAACGTGGTGGGCTCGATTGCCAAGAGCCTGCTGGAGCTGCTGGGCTTCAAGCCGAGGAGGTGGTTCTAGAGGTGGCAGCAGCGGCGATGGGATCGAGTGGCGCGGGCAATCTGCCGGCGTTGCCGCCAGATCGCCGTCGCCGACTGTGCATACGTCGATGGCCATCGGATCCTTGCTTGATGAGAACAGTAGTAGCTATACCCGCAGCCCGGGCGTCGTCGTTTTGGCGCTGCCAGGCTCCCCTCTTCTCTTTGTCGCCTCCTCGCGGCTCGCCCCTGCACTATTGGCTTCCCTTTCTTTTTGGCCTTCGCTGTACCTCGCCGGACTTGTCTGCCATGGCGCTCGATTCTGTATCCAGCCTAATCAACTATTGCGCCTCGATTGCGTCTGCGTGTGTGTATGAACGCGCAGGGGCCGCCTGGAGCGATGGAGAGGATGATGGCTGGGGTGTTGCCGGCCCGGCGGAGGGAGGGTGGCGCGGGTGCAGGTCGCGCACAGAGGTCGAAAAGCGAAGGCCCGCCGCCTGTTTTGGGGGGCTCGGGCTGGCTGGCTGGCTGGCAGGCTGGAAGGCTGGAAGGGCCTGAGCGAGAGAGGCCAGGCCAGGCGAGCCAGCAGGCAGGGTTCGTCTGCGAGGCGCGGTGGGGCCTCGAGGCAGCCTGGCCGTGCGGCAGACGGGCGAGCGCAGGCGAGAAAGCCAGGCGGCCAAGGCAGGCCAAGGCAGGCCAAGGCAGGCCAGGCCAGGCCAGGGCAACCCGGGCAGACCACCGAGGCGCGTCGCGGCTGTCCGATTTCCATCTTCTGCCCACATCCGCCGGCCACCATCCACCACCACCACCACCCTCCGACCCCCTTTTCCGCCCCTACTCATCATCATCAAAGCCCTGCACTCACCTCGCCCTCTGCTTCCACTTGCTATCCACGCGCAGTGTTCGCGCGACATCCGTCTTCCCCCGCCCGCAACTCCCCCTGTAGTCGCCGCCGCCGCCGTCACTGCGGGCGACCGACTGGCCCATCCGCGGTTGATCGATCCATCGTTCGTTGACCAGGTCTCCTGAACGCCGCATCACACCAAAAGTCGCTCACTTCCACATTAGAGCACGCCAGATAACCATCACCCCCGCGCCTGATCACGCTCGGCATGGCCACGCTCAACGTCACGGGCCTGCCCGACCCAAAGCTTGTCTCGGACAAGCCCACGCTCGAGGCACTCAGGGCCTACGTCGAACCCATCACCACCGCCCTCACCGGCGTCACGGTCCCAACCAGATCCGGCACCGGCTCCCTCACCGCCACAGACCTCGCCCACCTCTCCCATGACCTCCAGAAGTTCCAGGAAGAGGTCCTCGGCGCCTCGGTACCCCGACCCGCCGACCCCAGCGGCAGCTCGCCCGTCACACGTCACCCTCCGCGCATCCCCGCCATGCTCTTCGTCCCCACCGCATCGCTCCAGAACACGGCTGCTCTGCCCGCCGATCAGAGCCCCGCTCGCTTCATCCTCGAAGAGTCGCTCCGATTCCTCGCGTCCAAGGGTAGGACCACCTGGAACTTTGGCGACCTAGCGCTCAAGCACGAGAACGTCCACCTCGTCATCGCTGTTCGAGAGGCGCTCAAGAGCAAGGGTCTGCTCAAGAGGGCCAGGATCACGGCCAACGCGTCCATCACCGAGGCCGAGCTCGAATCGCTGCAGGCCATGGCTTCACAGCTCGACTGTAGGTGTTGACTTTGCCCGACAACGCCGGAGCGATGCGCCCATCCGCAACCCTGCCGCTCCTAGACTTCTCCAAGCTGACGCGCTTTGTCCATCGCCTCCACGCTCTTTTGCCCGATCTTCCCCCTCCCCCGCTTCCCGTCGACAGGTGAATGGACCTCGGACCCCTCGGCCGCCACGCACATCCTGTTCGCTTCGGAGGCCACGCCGCCGTCGTCGCCGCGAGCAGAGGGCGCACCGCCTGTCGAGGAGTACTTCAGGACGCTGGCCAGGCGAGGAGGCCGCGCTCTCGTCCATGTCTGGTACCGGCCCGACTCGTACGACACATGGCTGCCTGCCGCCGACTTTGCCGACCCGGACCCGGAGCCAGAAGCCCGCACAACGGCCTGGAAGGTCGGCACCAAGTGGCTCAAGGACAGCGTCCGCTTCAACGAGCTGATGAACGAGGAAGACTACGAAGAGGAGGAGGAGGAGCAGGCAACGGCACCCACAGCGGACGCGGATGCCGTCACCCAGGGTGCCACGGCCGAGCCGTCGGCAGACGTGGCGTCCAAGGGCAAGAAGCGAAGCCTACCCGACGAGGTCACCGACGAGCCGGTCGCTGGCTCGACTGAATCCGGCGGCAAGCGCATCAAGCTGCTCGTACCGGCCAAGCCGATCGGCGCGATCCCGATCGATCTCTCTGGTTCGCAGCCCATCCCGGGCAAGAAGTATGAGAACGAGCCCGTGCCCGGCGGTGTGCTCGGCAACCTCCCAGCCGAGACGGCCGGACCCACGAGGACCGAAGGCGAGCAGCCGTCCGTACGCGCCGCCAACGACTCGGACGTCACGATGGCCGAGGCGGCCGACAAGGACAAGCCTGACGGCGAGGAAGAGGTGCAGGAGGACGGCGCGACCCACCCAGACACTGCGGCGCTCGAGGAGCAGAGGAACCGGGCCGAGGCGATAGCGCGAAAGTACCTGGCCGCCCAGACGCAGGAGGTCATTATCCCCTCGTACTCGACCTGGTTCGACATGTCGACGATCAACGCCATTGAGAAGCGCTCGCTGCCCGAGTTTTTTAACAACAAGAATCGCAGCAAGACGCCCAGCATCTACAAGGACTACCGCGACTTTATGATCAACACCTACCGCCTCAACCCGAGCGAGTACCTCACGTTCACCGCCTGCCGCAGGAACCTGGCCGGCGATGTATGCGCCATCATGCGCGTCCACGCGTTCCTGGAGCAGTGGGGGCTCATCAACTACCAGATCGACCCCGAGACGAGGCCCGCCACCCTCGGACCCCCCTTCACCGGCCACTTCCGCGTGCTCGTCGACACCCCTCGCGGTCTTCAGCCCCTTCACCCAGGCACCCGCCTCCCCATTGCCCCTCAGGCCGCCGACCGCGCTAACGGAGCAGCCGTTGCGGGCGCTGATGGCACTGCCGCCGCCGCCGCCGCAGGTGGCAAGCCCGACATGAACCTAGAGCTTCGCAAGACCATATACCAGTCGACGCTCAAGGGCTCCAAGCCGATCGATCTGGCCGAGGCCGATTCGCTCGTGGCTCAGGCGGACGCCGCCGTCAAGGCCGGAGCTGGAGCTGGCCCGCGCTACAGCTGCGACACATGCGGCACCGACTGCACGCGCGTCCGCTACCACAGCATCAAGGCCAAGGACTTCGCGCTGTGCTCGTCGTGCTACCTAGAGGGCCGCTTCCCGAGCTCGATGTACTCGGGCGACTTCGTGAGGATGGAAGACACCGTCTACAAGCATGCCGGCGGACCCGCGGGCGGCGCCTCGGGGGCCCAGGACGACTGGACCGATGCCGAGACGCTGTTGCTGCTCGAGGGGCTCGAGATGTTTGACGACGACTGGTCCGCCGTCGCCGCCCACGTCGGTACTCGCTCGAGGGAGCAGTGCATCACCAAGTTTATTCAGCTGCCCATCGAGGACGGCTACCTCGAGGGTGCGAGCCAGGCGGACATGGGACCGCTGCAGTACGCGCTGCGCGACCCGAGCAACGACAAGAACGCCGGCGCCAAGTCGATCCTGCCGTTTGCCCAGGCCGACAACCCGGTGATGAGCGTCGTCGCCTTCCTCGCCAGCGCCGTCAACCCGGCCATCGCGGCTGCCGCGGCGCAGAGTGCGCTGGGCGAGCTGACTGAAGGGCTGAGGCGGCGCGCGCAGAAGGAGGGCGGTGCCGCTGCTTCGGGCGAAAAAGAGTCAGGTGCCGATGCCGCCGACTCTGGCGACAAGGACAAGAACAAGCCGAGCGAGGCGGGCGACGCCATGGACGTCGACGGCGACAAGGATAAGGAGGCGCAGCCGACGGGGGACAAGGACAAGGACAAGGATGATGAGGCTGGACGCGAACAGAGCGTCGTCGCCGGCGAGGCAGACAAGGACAGCGGCGACAAGGCGGCTCCTGCAGCCGACGGCGGCAGCAAGGGACCGATTCCGCGCAACGCCGTCGAGCGGGCGGCTGCCATGGCGCTGGGCGCCGCCGCTGCCAAGGCGCACGTGCTGGCCAGCTTCGAGGAGCGCGAGTGCCAGCGCCTGGTGGGACAGGTGATTGAGGCGCAGATGAGGAAGCTCGAGGTGAGTGCGCGGGGCCTTCTTTCCCTGCCCTTCTTGCTTGACCGGTAGAGCACCCATGACTGACGCTGATCTTCCTCTCTCCTTCTCCTCCTCCTCCTTCTCCTCTTACACCGGCGATAAACAGCTCAAGCTGTCGCAGTTCCACGAATTTGAATCGCTGCTCGAGTCGGAGCGGCGGAGCATCGAGGCGGGGCGGAGGCAGCTCTACGCCGACCGGCTGGCGGTGCAGCGGCAGATGGCGCTCGTCAACCAGCTGCTGGAAAAGGCGCACCGCGAGCCGGAAAACGTGCGTCCCGAAGAGGTGGTCCACGCCTCGTCGGCCGCCAACGGCCTGCCGCAGCAGGGTCCCGTCGTGCGCGAGGCCGTCGTCCCCAACGGTCCGCCCGCCGCCCCGCCCGGTGGCATCGCCAGGATCGGATAGGTTAGCAAGAGGTGTGTCGAGCCGAGGGGATGTTGTAGATTCGTCGTCGATGCCGTCGTCGCGGTGAAAGGCGGAAGCGACGAGAGAGGTGATGTGAGTTGAGGATGTCGTCGAATTGCTTTTTCCCAGACCTCTTTTTCATTTTCTTTGGGAGCGCAAACGTCTCTCTTGCCGGCGTCTTGTCGCGTTGCACCGAGTTGGAGGGCAACAGGCACAGGCAGGCTTCTCTTTCCCCCCACTCCAGACCGGGGGGCGGGTGAGCGGCCGGGCTCCTGTGCCAAAAAAGGACTAGCCAAAAAGGTGTCTATGCAAAAAAAGGCCCCGAGGCAAGGGGAGGGGGGAGGGCTTTCGGGGGGCGTGTGGGCTGAGCATGCGTGACAAAGACGGGAACGGCGAGGGTGAGTATGGGTAGGGTGAAGACGAAAGTGGGGACAGTGTGACGTTGAGCGCGTATAGACAAGACGAGGGTGACGATGACGCGGCCCAAGGAACAAGAGGGAGCGAGGGAGCGAGGGAGCGAGGGGGGGAGGCAGAGGTATACGGCAATGGTGCCCAACTTGGCAGAACGGCATCACGACAGTCAGTCGGCCCTGGACGGCTAGACGTCGTACTTGACGTCCCTTCGCTTTCCGAAGCCGACGCGGCGCTCCGAGAGCGACGGTCCGCCCTGGTCAAAGACGACGACGTGGTTCTTGATCCAGCTGAGGCCGAGGAGCGTGAAGCTCGACAGGCCCTCCTGGATGGCGCTGTAGCACATGTTTTCGCGCCCGCCCGCCTCGGAGGCGGGGACGGGATACTGCGGGAAAAAGACGTAGTCCTCGATGGGCAGCGAAAAGGCCTCGGTGCCAAACGTAATCTCGAGCGCCTTGTTGCGCTGCCCCTTTGGCAGCTTGGCCTCGTACTTCTTCAGCCCGGTGTCGCAGGGCACGAGCCAGGGCAGCTGCACCTTCTTCGAGTCGGTCTTGTAGCTGCCGTAGATCTGGGCGTTGGCGGCCTTGGCCATGACCGGCGGCATCGAAATCGTGGCCGAGCCCGTGTCGACGAGGAAGCGGATCGGGTTGGTGGCGTTGCCCTGCCCCTCGGCGAGTACGAGGCCGTCGATGTTGATCTTGGACACGTAGCCCGCCCAGAAGAAGGCCGAGAGCACCTTGGACCACGTCACGTCGCCCTTGAGCAGCGTCTTGTCGACCTCGCCAAAGACGTACTGGCCGCCGCCGTTGCGGCCCGTCTTGCGGTCCGACTTGACGAGCGTGGCGGTGAGGTAGGTCTCGTCGAGCATGCCGCGCTGCGACATGGCCTCAAATGCCGTCGTCCAGCCACCGGGCACCTGGGTGCCGCTGCCCGTGGCCAGCCCAATGAGGCCGTCCATCTGGCGGCCGCGGCGGCTGCCGGTGAGGTTGGTGGCGAGCGCGAGCGGCAGGCCATCGACCCTGAACTTGCCCTTCTCGAAGGCGAAGGTGTCGAGGCCGACGTAGCCGCGCGTGGCCGAACCGCTGCTGTAGGCCACGTTAAAGTCCTGGCCCGGGGTGCCGGGAGGCGCGGGGACGGCCTTGCCGTCGACGACGGTGCGGTTGAGGTAGGTCAACGACTGGGCCGGGTCAAACGACGAGTGGTTGTTGCCGTAGCAGCAGACGGGGCTGTAGACCCACGCCTCGGGGCTGCCCGTGTCGAGGACCATCTGGAGCGTCTGGCCGGGCGTGCCGAAGCTGACGTCGACGAGGAACTCGTTGTCGGCCGCCTCGTTTTCGGCCTTTGCGATGACGATGCCAAACTTGTGGTCGTGCATCCAGCCGTTTTCGACGTAGTGGGTGAGGCCGTCCTTTACGCCGTCGACGACGTGTCCGACACCGCCGAGGACGCCGCCGACCAGGCCACCCACGCCGCCGAGGACCCCGCCGATGAGGCTGTGGTGGCGGCCCGACTTGTCGGACTGCTGCTTGGTGTCGCGGCACTCTCGCTGGGAGCGCTTGGAGCCGGCACCCGAGAGGTCTCGCTTGCGACGCCTGAAGTCGATCTCGGAGGCCTCCTGTTCGGTGAAGCGCTGGTTGAGGAAGTCATAGTGGATGATGCTGCCGTCTTCGTTGACCAGGCCCTCGATGGGCTGGTGGCTGATCTTGAGCGTCCGGGATGCCGAGGCGGGGGTGGGAAGCAGAGGGAGCGTCGAGAGCGCAAGCAGGGCGCCACAGATGGTGGCCTTCATGGTGGGAGGTATGGTGCCGGCGGTGACGGTGGCAAGAAGAGCAATGTCGAAGTGAAGGTAAAAGAGCCGAGCGCGCCCGGGAACTCGTAGGTGAGGGGGTTGAAGGGAAACTAGACGAAAGAACCTGAGCGCTCCTATGGCAGCCAGCCGTCGCGGACGGGGGTACGGTACTAAGGTAGGTGGAGAGGTGGAGAGGTGGAGAGGTGGTAGTGGTGGTGGTGGTGATGGCGGCGGTGACGGTGGCGGTGAAGGGCGGGTATCTGGGCGGGGGCAAGACGTCGCGTGTTTGTGAGAGGAGCGAGCGGCCGACAAGGACAAACAACGAGCAAGCAAGCGAAGGCGACGCCGAGGAGGGCGATGAGAGGAGGCTGAAAGGTCGAAAGGGAAGCTCGGTGCGCTGATCAAGGCGTCGTCGACATGAGAGGCGACAGCGACCAGCAGGGGTGACAGACGGGCAGGCGATGCCGGACAGAGGCCGATGCGATGGCGAGGGCGAGGGCGACGTGAGAGAGGAGAGGGAGAGGCAGCGAAGGGTCGCAGGCCGAGACAAAGGCAGGCCGAGGAAACCCCGCCCCGGGCCCCCCTCTCTCTCTTTGGCCTGGCCTGCCAGCCCGCCTGGCTGCCACGCCTTCTGTCGGAAATTCCGCGCGGGCTGCGCTGTCCTTTCTGTGGACGTCGGAGGTGGTGCCGCCCGCGCCCTGGCCCATCCTTTGGCTCTCCGCCATGGTATCGTTCCTCGTCGCTGCTTGCCCGCACCGGCTGCCTTTCCGCCATCATCCTGGGCCGGCCCAGAGATGTAAAGACCGCAGACACATGGACATACACAGGCTATGTGCGCGGTCACGCATCCGACAGCCTAGGATGTTGTTGTTGACGTCGTCGTTGCCGTCGCTCGACGACCTGTCTGTGTGCGATCGCCCCTCCCCCACTCCCGCCTTGCAGGTCAGTCGGTCAACCCATCGCTCGGGGCAGAGCGGAGCCTGGTCGGGAGTGGGTCATCCCTGCCTGCGTTTGTCTCAATCTCAGGCCCTGGGGGTGATGGCTGCCGGGGTCGGGTCCATCCTGCCCACAGAGGGAGCAGACGGGAAGGGGCCGGTCATCGGCCTCGCCGAGAGCAGCGAGGATCACCATCGCCGTGCCGCGCCGCGCCGCGCCGTAGCATGTTCGCTCGCTCTTTCTACGCCCATTCGTCTCGCCTCGCACCACCTCCTTGCATGGCGAACCATGCCCCCATCCTTCCTTCTTTCGATGAATGCGCCCCAGTCGTGTATCCCCTCTTATGCCACGCTTCGCTTCTGGCTTGGACGTGCTTCCATGACCAACGTATGCACACACGCGGCGCGGCGCGGCGCAGCGCTGCCGGTTGGCTGTCGAGCATGATGGCAAGATGCGGCGGGACGGCTGTCCTGTGCCAAGCAAGCGCTTGCCGACCGCTTGAGGTTGCTCTTTCCCGGCGTAGTTGCCTACCTTCTTGCTTGCCTGCCTGCCTGCTTGCCTTCCCGTCGTCTGGTGTGGTGTGGTCCGGTCAGTTCCTCGTGCAGCCACGCGGAGCTTGGCGGTCGGCCACCGTACGGTTTCGGTCCAGGCCGACAGCAAGGCAAACCAACACGCGCTCCGTCGTCTTTGTCGTGGAGTCCTCCAGCCTGCCAAAGCCAAGGCTCAGCAGGTTCAGGTTCAGCCCTGCCCTGCCCTGCCCTGCCAAGCGGGCCCAGGTGAGGCCGCGCGCGAGGCCTAGGCATACATCGGCCCGCGGGCTTAGATGCAGGAACGGCTCGGCGCAGGCGCCGCACGTTTTGGCTCGGCAGGGACGCCCTGGCCACCGTGCCCCTGGATGATGCATTCGGATCCGAACTCGACCTCGACATCCGTCCGTCTTTCTCGTGATCCGGCGTTCGATACCACGGCCTCCTCCCCCTCTTCCTCCTCGTGCTCTGGCAGTCGTGCAGCATGAAAGTGTCCCGGTACATACAGAGTGTAGTAACCAGATTGACCTTGGAGAGACCTCACTTGGGTACTTGAAGCCAGCACGGAATTGAGAGGTTGAGAGGGAGGAAACCCCCCTCGGGTGCCAAAGCACGAGCGATGGGGAAAAAGGTCGTGGATATTCCGTGTGAAATCCGAGGAAGACGATGGCGCGGCAAAGAAGTAGCTTGACGCTTTGCATTGTTCTATCATTTCAAGAAGGGGTTTGCTAGGGGAGGAAGAGATCCACGTCGACGGCCAGGCAAGGCAGGCCGACATCCAAGCATTCGCACATCCAACCAAGACTCGAGCCCGGACAACGAGCGACCCGCCCGCCTAGTGCGCGCGCTTCCTCTCCTCGTCGGCCTGGTCGGCCAGGCGCTTGAGCTCGGCCATTTCGCCGCTCTGCTCGCACATGCTCTGGAAGACGCCGCCCTCCTTCTCCATCAGCTCCTTCGGGCTGCCAAACTCGATGACCTTGCCCTTGTCCAGCACGCAGATCTTGTCATAGTCGGCGATCGTCTTGATCCTGTGCGCAATCGTGATGATGGTCGCCTGCGGCGCCATCTCCTGGCGGATCGTCTTTTGGATCTGGGCGTCCGACGCCGAGTCGAGGTTGGCCGTCGACTCGTCGAGCAGCAGGATCCGGCTGTCGCGCAGCTTGAGCAGGCCCCGCGCCAGCGCCAGCAGCTGCTTCTGACCCGCCGAAAAGTTGCGCCCGCCCTGCTCGACCGGCGCGTCGAGGCTGGTGATGACATTGGTGCGTCCCACCATCTCGACATCGTCGCCCGTCGCCGTCGCCTCGTCATCGCCATCGTCGGCGGGCGAGGGCGAGGCGGGTCGGGTGGGTGCGCGGCTGACGCTGCGCGACCCGCTCGAGGCAAGCCGGCACCGCTCCAGCGCCTGCCACAGCTCCGCATCCTCGTAGACGTTGAACGGATCCAGGTTGGATCGCACAGTGCCGCTGAAGAGCTGGGCGTCCTGCGGGATCACCGTCAGCCGCTGCCGCAGCGTCTTCATCGGCACCTTGGAGATGTCGATGCCGTCAATGACGATGGCGCCCTCCTCGGCCTCGAGGAAGCGGAAGAAGCACAGCGCCAGCGTCGACTTGCCCGACCCCGTCCGTCCGACGATGCCCACCTTCTCGCGCGGCTTGATCTCGAGGTTGACGCCGCTCAGGACGCGCGGGAACTCGGGCGTGTAGCGCACCGAGAGGTTGTCGACGACAATCGAGCCCTCGCTGCTGGGCCAGTAGGCCGGGGGCTCGACGCCCTCCTGCTTCTCGGGCTCGAGGTCGATGTACTCGCTCACCCGCTCCACCGAGTTCATGTTGATCTCGGTCTGCGTGTACATGCGCACGATCCAGAGCACCGACTCGACGAAGGTGATGGCGTACGACAGGATGAAGCCCGCCAGGCTCGCCTCGATGGTCGGGTTGAGCAGCAGGAAGACGGCCGCCAGGAAGCCGACAAACGCGCCCGCAATGTCGACGCGAACCGAGAGCCAGCGGTTGGTGTACCACAGGAAGAAAAAGGCGCGGTTGGCCTTGTCGACCAGGCGCAGGCAGTGGCGCGTGAAGCGGCCGGCGTCGCCATAGGCGCGGATCGTCACGCAGCCGCTCAGCACCTCGCCGACGACCGTGTAGATGGGCGACCGCTCGACCGACTCGATGCGCTTGAGGTCGCGCGAGCTGACCAGGTAGAGGGCGCCGATCAGGTAGTAGACGCAGATGATGACCAGGGCGGCAAAGATGAAGGCCGGCGTGGCCCAGCAAATGAGCAGCAGGATGGCCGTGCAGGTCAGGGTGCAGTCCAGCAGGAAGAGGAGGCAGACGGCCATTTCCTGCAGAGGCGTCGAGCAAGACAGGGATCAGAGGGGGTGCGACATCAGCGTCGGAACTTTGGTGTTTAGAGACGCAAGGAGAGAGCGCGCGCGTGGGGCCGCATCCCGGCCACTCACCTGGTCGACGGTCTCAACGTCCTTCGAGATACGGTTCATGATCCTTCCGATGGGCGTGCGGTCAAAGAACTGCGGCTTGGCGTTGAGGATGGCCTTGATCAGCCTGCGGTAGATCCTCCTCGAAGCCGTGAGCGACAGGTAGAACTCGTAGGCGTCGCGGATGGCGCTGAGGAAGACGTAGGCGAGCGAGATGCCAAGGTAGACGAGCAGGTAGTAGGTGTCAAAGTCGCGCGAGGACTTGGGCTTCTTGTTGGGCTGCTCGGGATCGGCCGAGGTCAGCATCGGATCGGGCAGCTCAGAGGCAAGCGAGCCAGCGTCGAACACCCGCTGCGCCGAAGAGGCCGCGGGCTGGGGAGCCATCCGCTTGTGCAAAGGGGAGGGGGCGGCCGACAGGTTGCTGGGCGACTGCTGCTCGAAGAAGGCGGCGGGAGCGGACAGGAACGACGAGAGGTGGTAGTTGCGGAAGCTGGCGCCGGTGCTGGACCAAAGCGAGTCCACCACGGGCGGCATCGAGACGGCGCGGACCGCAGACGGCGCGCTCGCACCCGCCGCGCTGGCGACCGAGTCGGGGCCTGCCTCCTTGCGGTACTCGTGCGAGCGTGCCCAGCGCATCAGCCAGGCACCCGAGCTGATGTCGACGGCACGGGCGCTCATGAAAAAGACGAGCATGACGCCCCACATCAGCAGGGCGAGCTTGAGCGACGACGAGATCGAGCCGAGGTAGAGCGAGTACGACTTCTTGCCGACCGAGCCCGACGCGTAGGTCTCCTCGTTGGCGTGGGCCTTTTTCTTCTCGAGCTTCTTCTTGAGCTCCTCGCGCTCGGCCTCGTCGGTGCTGCCGGCGGCGAGCTGCTCGATGGTCAGCTCCTCGCCCTCGTCGGCGTTGGCGTGTCCGCCGTTCTGCAGGCTGTCCTGGAGCGCGGCACCCTCGTCGGAAAAGACTCCCGTGGCGTTGACGACCGACGGAGGGCCCGCGGCGACGACGCGACCGTCGTTCATGGCCACGGCAAAGGCGGCACCGGGCAGGCAGAGGCTGATGGCGTGGGTGACGAGCAGGATGGTCCTGCCGCGGGCGAGGGCGCCCTTGAGCGCGTGGCGGTAGAGGTGCTTGGCCGTGTGGCTGTCGACGGCCGAGAGGGCATCGTCGATGAGGATGTGCTTGGCGGACGAGTAGAAGGCGCGGGCGAGCGCAATCCTGGCCTTCTGGCCACCGGAGAGCGACGTTCCCTTCTCGCCGACCTCGGTCTCGTCGCCGTACTCGAGGATCCTGAGGTCGGGCTCGAGGGCACACGCCTTGATGACGGCGCGGTACCGGCGCTCGTCGTAGGCGGCGCCAAAGAGGATGTTCTCCTTGAGCGTGGTGCCGAGCAGCCAGGGGCTCTGGCTGCAGTAGGCCACCGACTCGCTGAGGCCAGTCTCGGGATCGACGGGCGCCAGGGCCCTCGCCACGGTGCACGGCATAAACGTCTTACCGCTCAGCTGGCGCGTCTCGCCGAGGAACGAGAGCAGCAGCGACGTCTTGCCCGATCCGACCGGTCCGGCAATGACGCTGAACTGGCCAACGGGGAAGGTGAGGTTGAGGTCGCGCAGGCAAAAGGCGCCATTGTCAAGCGCGTCGTCGTCGTCCGAGTAGGTGAACGAGGCGTCCTGGAAGCCGACGACGGGCTCGTCGGGCATGCGTTCCTGCTCGTTGGACAGCAGCTGCTGGTACTTTTCCGTCTCCTCCTCGCGCAGGTAGGCGTCGATGCGGCGGACCGAGACGAGCGAGTTGAGGATCTGGACAATCATGTCGGGCAGCGCGTCGAGCGGGTTGCGCAGCGTGTTGAAGAGGGCGAGGGCGGTGAAGGCGGTCTCGGCCGTCAGCGGCTGGTGGAAGAGCTTGGTGTGGGCGCCAAACGTGGCGCAGGTGACCATCATCGGCGCGCCCGTGTAGGTGAGGGTGTTACACAGCCAGGCAAAGTAGCGGATCGCCAGCACCCGCAGCTCCTGCTGGCGCGTCTCGTCCATCCGGGCGTTGAACGACTCCTCCCAGGCAAAGAACTTGACCGTCTTGATGCAGCCCAGCACTTCGGTGGCCAGGTTGAGCCGCTTGTCGGTCATGGCCAGCAGCCGCCTCTGCAGCTTGACAAACCACGTCGATACAAACGCCTGCGCGGGCATCGAGGCGAGCAGCACCATGAAGCCGATGACGGCCGACCAGCCGAGCAGCTTGATCAGGTAGATGAGGCAGAGGGCGATCGTCAGCGGCGCCTTGGGCGCGAGGAAGTGGAGGTAGGCGCAGATCTCCGACACCTTGAAGACGTCGACCGAGATCAGGTTGACAATCTGGCCATCGGTGGCGCGGTCGCCCTCGCCGCCGCCGTCGGCCGCCTTCTTGGCGTCGTCGGGCTTGGCGCTCTCCCCTTCGCCGGGGGCTGCGGAGCCGTCCTCGTCCTTCTTGGCCTTGTTGCCGCCGCTGTCCTTGCGGCGCAGCGTCTTTGTGACGATCTCGGTGATGAGGATGGCGCGCAGGCGGATGCAGATGCGGCGGCCGATGAAGAGGGCGCGCGAGGCACAGAGCGACGTGACCATCTGGCCAAAGAGCATGCCGAGGGCGTACAGGATGGCGACGTGGAAGGGCTGGACGCCGTCGAGAGTGCCCGTGTTTTTCTCGCCGCGCTCGGCGATGAAAGTGAGGATCTTGTTGAGGAAAAAGGGCGGACTCAGGACGAGGATGGCCTCGAGGGTGGCAAAGAAGATCTGGACGGCCAGCAGGCCGGCAAAGTGGCGGAAGAGGCGCACCCAGAGCGGCCGGCTGGAAGGCCGGAGCTGCTCTGGCAGGTCGTCGATCTTGCCGAGGGGCTCCGAAGACGGCGACGACGAGCTGCTGCTGCTGCGGCCAGACGAGGACGAGTAGGCGCGGAAGCCGGCCACGACGGCGGCCGCCTTGTCTGCGACGGGCAGGTCCGGCACGGCGGGCAGCGTGAACTGCTCGTAGAAGTGTTTGCGCAGCGCGGGCGTGACGAACCCGAAGCACGCGCGCGAGTAGAGCGACGCCGTGTCCTCGGGAGGCGAGATGAGCTTCTCCTTGGAGCCGGAGGTGGCATTGAGCGGGCGGGGCGCCTCGCTGCCATCGCCGCGGAGCGCCGAGGGCGCAGCACCGCGCTGATCGACGGGCCGCAGGGTGGGCGAAGGGATCGCAGTGCCCGGCTCGCCGTGCTCCTTTGCAGGGCTGATGGTGTCGTAGATGGCGCGGAGCTCGCGCGGCAGCGTCGACTGGAGCGGGAAGAAGAGGATGGGGATGAGGACGGCCACCGCCAGTCCGAGCTGGACCGAGGTGACGACGACGGCCTCCTTGTGCAGGTAGCTGCGCTCGTCGTGCCACTGGATCAGGGCGGTGCGGAGGTTGAAGAGGGTGACGACAAAGTAGGCGAGGATGATGGTGGCCTTGTGGGTGAAGAGCGAGTGGCCGGTGGCGAGGCCGTAGGTCGAGAGGAGGGCCAGGTAGATCCAGAGCCCGGTCCAGCACGCCTGCCAGTTGAAGGCCTGCCAGCCCATGACCCACGCGGCAGCATGGACGGCGGCCAGGGCGACCGAGACGATCAGCTCGATCAGGCGGCGGGTGAGGCCGAGCCTGCGGACGCGCTCGATCTGGTGCGGCTCGAGATTCTGCATGGGCGTCTGGTGCACCTCGTTGAGGATGACGGCGTTCTCGGTGCGGAAGACCTCCATGGCCGCGCTGGCGGCCGCCTCTTCTTCGGCGGTGCTCATGCGCCTGCTCCTCCTGTTGGCCTGGTTGGATGACTTGAGGAGGCGCGACGAGTTCCAGGGCAGGATGTAGGCGATTGCGCGGGCGATGGCGCTGCGGGGATGCCGCCGCCGGGGCGTGCGCCTGGCGTGCGGAGCGGCATCATCGTCGGCTCCGGGGATGGCGAAGTTGGACGAGGCGGGGTCGAGCTTGGCGACGTGCTCTGCCGACGCAGCGAGTCCCTTTGACTGGCGGAGCGAGTGGACGGCGAGCGTGACGAGCGACACAGACACAGCGGCCACGGGGATGGCGGTGTTGAGCACTCGGGTCTGGAAGCACTCGTCCCAGTCGGCGCCGTTCCAGAACGAGCCGGTGCAGCCAAAGGCGGACATGGTGGGTCGGCGCGGGCTACTGCGGGTCGCTTTCGATTGGTTGGAGCTGCCGTATGAGGCGTGGCTCGGTGCGCAGGTCAGGCGAAGGTGCCTTGGGATGCTGCTCTTGGGCGATCAGAGCGGTATCTATGTGCGCTGGAGTCAGGTTGGTCGGTGCGCGAGCTTGCCTCGTCCGGGAGCGGGACGGTTTGGGTCCGGCGGCAAGCCTTGGCAGGTCGATGGAGGCGGTCCGAAGAAAGGATCGGTGGGTGCCTCTGTCGCCTTGACGTTTCCTGGGAGGGTCCTGTCTAGAGAGCGATACGAGGTGCGAAGGGGGTCGCGAGGTGCGGGAAGGTGGCCTCTGCGTCGCCGCCTCGGTCGGTTGGGGCCGGAGCGCGGATAAGAGGTGGCTGTGCAGTCGCGGTCCCTGGTGGTGCTGGAAGGGTGCGGTGATGGTGATGGTGGTGGTGGTCAAGAGTTGACGGCGACGGCGACGACGACGGCGGAGGGATGCCGAGCAGGGTGCCAGGAGAGGGGCGCAGCGGAGGCGGGTCAGTCAGAAGCGTACGTCGAGAGAAGGCAGCCCACAGGGCCCCCCTCGCTGACGAGCTGCTGAGATCACAATTTTTCGGCTGGCAGGCAGGAAGGCACGGTACGGCAGGCAGGGGACCCTCGCCTCGCCTCGCCTCGCCTCGTCTCGTCTTGCTTGTCGGATCGCCTTGCTCCACACGCGATCCGGCGCAGCGTGCCTGTCTGCCTGCCTGCCTGCCTGCCTGCCTGCCTCCTGCGGGCCTTTCCTTTGTCGGCTCACCCGCCGCGCCAAAGATGGCCGGCCAACAAGCCAGCAAGCAGGCAGCCGGCCAGCAAGGACGATGCACGCAACGAGCGAATGGGCGAGCGTGGATTGGTCGGGCCGAAGCCGCCGCCGCCGCCGTCTGGCGAGCTCAGCCTGGCCTCGCCAGTCTGCCATGGCACCGACCAACCCCAGCCTGTGTTGCACTTAACCGGGGCGGGGAGGCGGGCGGCGGGTCGGGTGAGGCTGACCCGATCTGCACGCAGCCGGCCCCGACGGGGCGGGTGCACGCCGGCAAATTTCCATCAGAAGATCGCCAGGCAGGCAGGGTACGGTCGACGTCGGCTCGCCGCCCACACCTAGCCTGCTGCTCGAGCGGCCCAACCGAAGCCAACCCCCTGCCTGAGCCCCTCCGCCTTTGGTCGTCGTCTGGTGGTCACCGAGCATCGCAAACGAGCAGGCCGGCTCGGTAACAGCAGAGCAGTACGAGTGCATGGCAAACAGAGACGGAGACTCACAGGCAGGATGGCGGGCCAAGCGAGGGACGGGGGTGCGGAGCGAGGCCGAAGAACGTACGTCTGCGTGGGGGCAACGCGCCTGAGCCGCCGGCTTGTTGGAGAGAAGAAATCGAGGGGGCTGGCTGGGTCTTCGACCGATGTCTTGTTCGGACAAGGCGGGGCGGGGCGGGGCGGGCGCGGGTCAACGATGAAAGAACGGACGTGAGGACATCGGTTGTCACTTTGACGGTGGTGTCCATCTTCTCTCTTCGTGGCCGATCAAGCTTCTTTTGTACCAGAAGAAGGAGTCAAAGGATGGCCGGCCAGGGAAGGACATACCACCATACCGTACCTCTCCAAGTGGGTCAAGAAGGATCGATCGAGAGGCCAAAGAAAAGCGACTGAGCAGCAAGGGAAGGAACGACGTCTTCCGATGTCCTCACCTGCCGCCCCTTCTTCTTGGCCCTGGTCACATCGTAACAGCGTAGCGGACGTGACCAGCCAGTCATGGTGGGCGCACGCGCAAGCAGACGCCTTTCTGGACGGCCTGGGTGGTATATCCGCAACCTCGACGTACATACGGTCAGTCGTCGCACCGAGGACGACCGGCGGCTCCATCCCTCCCCCCGTCCTCACCCTCCCGTCCGTATTGTTGTCGTCCCATACCATGCCATGCCCTGCTCGTGTCGGGCCGAGCAGCAGAGGGGGTCTACAAGATCGACCCTTCGCCATGCGTATCGGTAGCACCCGACTGAGCTCGAGTCAGATCGGTCTAGGACGTGACTCGCCATCCTCGATGCCCGGCACCGCAACGTGCTCTTAAATGACCGTCGCATCTCTATCTGCGATCACCATCCCATTCCTTCAAATCGTGTCGATGTCGGGCTACGGTATACCCTACATTCCACGTCTACCCCGCACCGCACTGCCAACGACCGACGAGTGGCACGGAGTGTACCGCGACCCTACATAAACCGTTGCGGGGGAGCGAGAAGGCGGGGGGGTCGGACGTGACTCGGGTCGGGTAGCTCCTTTCCGCGTGTAGCCTCCCGCGCCGGCCCCGTATCGAGTCATCCAACCTTCCATCCCGCCTCACACTACAAGTATGCTTTCTCCTGACGACGCCGATCCGCCGACCGTACTCTTGTCGAGCAGTCGGCATCGGTGCAGACGGGAGGACGAGGCGGTACAACACGATTCCGTGACCGTGACCCGTCCCCGCACCCTGACTACCCCAGGCCTGCATCGAAGGTGATACCTGAGATGGGTTGTCCACGTGGGGCATTGCCATCGTCATCGCCGTTCGTTCCAGCCAACACATCGTCGCTCTCAGGCCACACGTACAGAAAGACTGGCTGACCAGAGCCACGTCAAGTCGAGCGAGGCTCGACACCCGCTTGCGCCATAGACCGTGGGGAGTTAATCCTTGCGCAGCTCAACACGGCGATTACATCCACGCTAACGAGCGAGCGAGCGATCGAGCGAGGCGTGGATACCGACGACGGCTACCAGACAAACGACGACATCAGAACTCAATCAGCGGACTCTCGCCCACCGCCTGCGGGTGGGCAGACGATGGCTGCTGCCACATGCCCGCAGACGAGCGCCCGTTGGTGTTGGCGCTCGCCGGAGACACGAGCTCACTCTGCGACGACGAGGGCCCCAGCCCGTTTTCGGGATGCGGGGCGACCGGAAAGATGGGCAGGTAGCTCGCGTTACTGCTCGGCGCCTGCTGCTGGTACGGCGCACCCGGCTGCGTCGTCGTCGTCGTCGCCGCCATCGACGTCTTGATGGCCGGAGGAGCGGCCGTCGCCTGCTGCTGCTGCTGCTGCTGCTGCTGCTGATAGGGCGGGCGCTGCTCGGGCTGACCGTTCGCTGGAGGGTGCTGGATCCCGTTGCCGTTGAGCATGGGTGCGGTCGCGCTGGCCGGGCTGACTTGCTCGATCGGGACATTGTTCCAACCCGTCGAACTCGAGGCGAGCGTATCGGTCGAGCGGCGACGCTGCGCAGAGGCCGCTTCGCCAGGCTGGGCGGCAAACCCATTGACGTGCATCGTCGCCTGCTCCAGCGAGCCAGCTTGCGGCTGCTGCTGCTGCTGCTGCGATCCGGGCTGCGCGTGCGAAGGGATTGCCTGTTGACCCGCGGCGCCATGGCCGGGGCTCATCAACTTCTCAAAATGGGGCAGCGAGGGCGCGCCAGCGGGCGCACCAGCCTCGCCGTTAGCGCCCGCGGCCGGCGTCACGGGCCCAGACTGCATCGCCACACCCTCGGGGTAGCCAAGCCCAGTAGTCTGGTAGCCCTGGCCTTCGTAGACTTGGGCGTTCTGCGCATAGCCGCCATCGACGACAGGCGGTCCCGGCGCGACTGCACCGCCGCTGCCGCCGGCGAGGCCTGGTTGAGGGGTGTGCGTCTGCGATCCCGCGTAGTAATGCTGAGAGGTCGCGTCTGGCGCATTGCCATAGCCGTCGACGCCGTAGGCCTGCGGTTGGGTCGGGTGAGCGCCGACCTGGTTGGCCGCCAGCACGCCGCCGTAGCCGCTGCTCGCGTGCTGCGCGTAGGCCTCGCCGTTCGGGTTCGGATAGATCTGCTGCGGCTGCGACTGCGGGTACGTGGCCGTGGCATAGGCATGGACCGGCGACTGGGCCGCGCTCGAGCCGGCGGCATGGATGGAGTCCGGCGCGGCGCCATAGCCAACGTGGGCTGGCTGATGCGCGTGGTGCCTGGGCTGCGGAGTCGTCGACGTGCTCGCGATCGCGTACGGACCCGCGTCTTGCGGCGGTGGCGCATGCTGCTGCGGCAGCTGCTGCTGGGGCAGTTGCTGGTGAGGGTGCTGGGCTTGCTGGTGCTGGTGCGAGTAGTAGGCTGCCGGATCGGCATAATAGGGCTGGCCATGCTGTCCCTGTTGAAAGGCGTACGGCGCCGTCGAGGCCGAGGGGCCCGATGGAGGCAGGTTGGGGTACATTCCGCTCCCGGCGGCGGCGACGGGCTGCGACTGCGAAGGTGCCTCGCGGCGCGGATCCTGCCCGTAGTAGGCGCCCTGCGGCTGGCCGTACGGCGCGTACGAGGCCGCGGGCCGGGTCATTTGCGCATCGAGCAGACGGTCGTAGAGGCGGACGGCCTCGGCCAGCTTCTCGTGCATCGAGACCAGGACGCCATGCCTGCGGTGCCCTTCCTCGAGGCTGCGGGCCACCTTGGGTCGCGCCGTGCTCGCCTTTTCATAGAGCGCCTGCGCCTGCTGGTGCGGAGGCGCTCCAGAGATGCCATGCCGCTGGTTGTACACCTCCTGCGCCTGGACGGTCTGCGCGAAGGTCAGGAGCGAGTCGACGTCTTGGGGTGGCAGCTCGAGCGAGGGTGGCAGGTTGAGGGTCTCCCTGCCGGTGTCGGCTGCCGCGGCCGACGCTGCCGGTGCAGTGGCGTACGACTGCGGCTGCGATGCAGGCAGGCTGTCGGGTGCGCTCGGCTGCGGAGGTGCCCAGTCTCGGAGGCTGGCCGCGATGGCAGCGGCCAGGTCCGGGTCGTCGTCGGCGTCGGTCCCTTCGAGCATGCGTCCGTCGGGCTGGCGCGTCGCTCTGCCTGGCGCCGAAGGAGTCTGACCAGGACCGCTGGCGCTCGGACCGGCCGCACCGCCAGAGCTTTCCAGGGAGAGCTTGATGGCAAGGGCCAGGTCGTCGTCTTCCTTTGTGCTGCGGCCGCTCCTGCGCGGCTTGCCACCGACTGTGAGCGAGCGCTGGTGCGACGCGGCACCTCCGCGACCGGACGGGGCCGAGGAAGAGGAGAGAGATGATGACCTGGAGGGCGAGGTGACGCTCTTGGACCGCGAGAGCTTGGCGGCGTTCTTGGGCGGCGCCCTGCGCGTGTGGCAGGCATCGCAGACGCGGACGTCCTGGCCGATGCCGAACCAGGGCAGCGACATCGAGTGGCTGGAGCACTGCTGGCAGAAGACGTTGCCGCAGTTGCGGCAGTGGTGCTTTCGGTTGAAGGTGGTGAAGGCGGTGCGGCAGCGGAGGCAGACGTCGCCGTCGACCCACTCGGGCGCGGTGAGGGTCTCCACCAGGGCGGCCGATGCGACGGCGTGCGGATCGCGCGGCGGGAAATCAAACTTCTGTCCCTTGAGGGTGCGGTAGACGTCGTTGATGTAGCCCATCTGGGAGGGCTTTTGCTCTGCGATCTGGGCCCAGTTCTGGATGAGGCCGAGGGCCTTTGCCTTTACGTCGTGGTTGACGCCGGCGGGGTTCTGAAGCACCGAGACGAGGTTGTCCATAAACTCGCGCGAGGCGACCTCCTGGAGGAAGTGGTCGCCGCCGTTCTTGATGCAGATGTCGGTGAGGCCGAGGGCGAGGAGGACGACGTTTGGGTTCTTGTGACTGACGCGGCGCTTGATGACCTGCATGGCCTGCTTTGGCTGGACCTGCTTGGCCCTGACCTGGTCACAGATGTCGAGGTTGAGTGCGATGTCCTCCTGGCCAGCGGGCAGCAGCTCCGAGGTGGCCTTTTCCACCTGCTCCGAGAAAGGGTCGGCGCCCCAGCCGGACCAGAGGGCAGACATGGCGGCGAGGTTGGCGGCGGCTGCGGCGGATGCTGTCGAGGGGTTCGTGGGCGGCGCAGGCAATTGGAACGGCCTGTTGACAGGGTACGAGAGGGAGCGTGCAGTAGCTGGCTGCGCGGGGGGTCTGGGTGAGTTGAGCTGGATGCGATCGTTTAAGGGTCGATGGCGGGGGTTGAGGTCGTTGGCTGGGTCGTGTACGTTGGGCTTTCGTGAAGGTGCAGCTGCGGTGGCGCGGGGAGGAAGGAAGTGGGGGACAAGAGGCGCGACAGTGGACCAGACTCGACCACGGCTCCTTCTGTGGCGTCGTGGGGGAACGATGATGGGGATGGTGGTGGTGGTGGTGGTCGACGAGCAGCAGCGTGGCGAGTGAGGGGCTGAGTGGAGACGACCGGCCCTTGGGGCAGCCACTCTAGACTAGACTGTGCCAGGGCCGACGTGGGGAAGGCGTGGCCTTGGCCTGGCCTGACTTGACCTGACCTGACCTGACCTGACCTGACCCCCCCTGCTTGGCCCGGGCCAAGCAGCAGGCTGCTGAGCATCTGCGCGCCGTGGTCGACGTGCAGGCGGCCCAGGCCCAGGTTCAGGCCAGGCTGCTGGCGATTTGGCGGTGGCCATCTTGAGGCCACGCTGGACCCTGCCTGGCAGGCTCTCGGCCAGGCTTGGCTGGGCCAGCACAGCGGCAGCCACTCGGCCCGCCAGGTCAGACTTAGCAGAGAACCAGGGCCATCGCCGTCATCACCTCCGCAAAGGCAACCTTGCTTGTCGACACGTCTCACGCTTCTCTCTCTCTCTCTCAATCGACCTCGACTTGCTGGCCAGCATGCTGCCGTCGTGTCATCTGAATCCTACACACGCACCGACAGACCTACAACCGCCGCCAAACAGCAGCCACGTCCACGATCAGGTCCACGCAGTCTGAATCGACGACAAGGTCCATCATTCGCTGGCATGGTTTCGAATCAAGATGAGATTGCTGTCTCTTGACGACCAGGCCATCGTTTCCCCAGCACGCACGTCTCTACCGAACAGCATGGCCATCGCATCCGTCCCCGTACCAGATGCACCCCGTTGCCCAAAACTTGGCGCAGATCTGCCGTGGGCTTACCTGGGTTGTCTAACAGACACGAGGCAGTCCAGATGCGACTACGAGGTCATGGACGTCGGCTGACTGCCGATGCGAGAGCACGATAAGCGGCCAGATAGAAAGATGCGCCCAGAGACTAGGTCAGATTTTGACAGGACGTGCTCGTCAACATGTCAGCATCCCCCCGCTCGAGACGGGGCAGGGCGTCGTGGTCGTCGAAGGCCCAGTCTTGTCGGGCAGAGGGCTCAGCAGGCCGGCGTCGGGTGCCTTTCAAAGTCTCGCTGGGCCAGCATCGATGCTGGAAGAAAGGACGATGGTGAGGCTGAATCCGAACGGCTCAAGAGCAAGGGGATGGCGGTGGTCGGGTGATGGCTGAGGGCACCCGAGGAGAGGGCGGCCGGAGGTGGAGATGGTCAGGCGGCGATATCGTTCGACGTGCCGTGACGGGTGGCCAAACTGTTGTAGATGGCGGTGAGACGATGGCGGCGACGGCGGTGACAAAGAGGCAGGTGTGGAGGGTCGAGGAACGAGGATGGTGGTGGTCGAGGGCCAAGGCGTGGCAGCCTGGGCGAGAGCGTCTTTTTGTGCTGCCTGCTGCCTGCTGCCTGCTGCCCGCTGCCCGCTGCCCGCCGCTCGCTGCTTGCCTGGCTGCCTGCCTGCGCCCGATCACACCTTTTGCGGGCGGCTGCGCAATTTGGGCGGGTTTTGGCGGGCTGGGCTGGGCGGCCTCTGCTCCAGTGCCCGCGCCGCGCCACCTGGAAAAAAGGGCCTCGAGAAGGCAGCCAGGCGGGCAGGCGGGCAGGCAGCCAGGCAGGCAGCCAGGCCCCAGCCAGACAGAGAGTCAGCCAAGCAGGCCAGGCCAAAGCCAGGCCCAGGCCAGACGGGCCCACGGCGCGCGCGCGCCCCCCTTCCCCCCCCAGGCTAGATCGCCCCCGCCTTGATCGCACTCGCCGCCGCTCCGCTCACCACCATCCCCGACCACCCATCCTCGCCTCACCCGCCGCCACCCCGTCGCGGTGACCGAGCATTCGCCTTCACCACCCGTTCATTCAGTCTCTTCCTTCGTCTGAAGCCGTCCTTCTCGGCTTGCCCGTCTCGCATCCGACAGACGGTCCAGCCTTCGTGCCTCGGACCCACCCTGTGGCGCGAGTGCCGACCTCGACGCGACCCGTCCACGCACACGGATCGACCCCTTGAACAGGTTCCATTGCGAGCGCTCCGACAGACACGCTCCGCTCCTGAGCGTCATCGCCGCTGCCTCGTCCCGTCTGAGATCTACGTCGACCGACGACTGAACGGCAGGCGCACACGTCGACAGACCACAGGCCGTCAGCCCCGACAGCCGCCGTGCTCTCGCCACTCGACGCTTGATCGGTGCTGCTGCGCCTTGCCACCGGCATCGAGCTTCTCTGTCGTCCATCGCTGGATTACGACAAAGGCCGCCTGCCTTCGCGACGATTGCTCCGTTTCCCGGCACTCACCTGCCTCGACCACCAACACAGTCGAGCGCTCACTCCAGGTACCGCCGTCAGACACACCAAAAAAAGAAGAACAGCTACGACTCTTAGTGCAGACGTCTTGCATGCTTCAGTAGCGAGGCCGCGTCTGTCCGCCACCGACGTAGAACAAGGCACGACGACGAGGCTTGTGGCGATCGTTTGAAGGGTACCCTTTCCAACCTGAGCCCCAGACCACCAGCCGACTCGCTCGCAGTTCGACCGGCAGCAGATTCGCGACGCCGACTCCCGACATCGAGGTCGTTCGAACGAGGGCATCTGTCTGCATCGGCCGGCCATCCTGGACCTGCCAGGTGACAACCGCCACAGCAGTCTCGCTGAGTCTTCGAAAAAGGCAAAACCAAGGCGTACGCCGAGGAAGACGGACGCCGACCCTCAGCTCGACTTTCGAAACATCAGGTGATTCAGTTCTCCGCGATCTTTCTGTTAGTATCCGGGCACGACGGTCTCCGTCGCTCCTCCATCGACGCCCAGTCCGATTGGTGGATCCGCGGGTTGGGGAGGTGGATCTCGACGGGCGATAGCCGCGGTCGCCTGTCGCTAGCCTGCGCTTGGTCGCTTTCGGGGTCGATACTCGCCATCGAGCTCGAAGGCTGGCAGGCAGGGCCAGACACTGGATCGACATCGGGCCCACTTCTCGGTTCCATCCGCTGACCGCCGTCGCCTTTTATTTTCTGCCGCCTTTCGCTAGGTAGCTGAAGCAAAGGCGAAGTCGCGCTCAGCAGCCGACGTCGATCCAGCGGTAGCGGCAGGCACCCTCGCGGAACCTCTCGCGATCGTTCTCCATCCACGTCTTCGACCGCTTCTATCGTCCTTCGAAGCAGACGAGCGCGCGCCACGCGCTTGCCACCTGCGCCGCTTGGACGCCGTCGCCGCCTCCACGTCGATCCGCCGCGCCACCCACGCTCCTTTCATCACCACCTCTTGCTCTCTCCGTGCATTGCTGCATCGGCTTTGAGGCCCCAGCCCCAGTCTCTTTGACCGCAGCCCAGCTCTCGATCCACCTCCAGCCCCGCCCGTCGACACCAAGATGAGCGCTGCCGCCGGTCAATCGTTTGCCCACTCGACGGCGCCCACCCGCGCCGTCAGGGAGGTCCAGTTTGGCATCCTGAGCCCGGAAGAGATTGTAGGTATCGGCCCGGAAGCGTCGGCCGGTCCACGGTCGGCGTCGCGGCCTCGCGCTCGCCCCGGCTTGACACAGAAGCTGACCCGCCGAGCTCTGCCATCGAAATCGCCTCGTCCACTCGTACTGCTCCGGTTCCTTCCTCCCTGACCCTGACCTCTCGTTCCGATCACTGCGACCTTTCGCCGCTTTCGTTGCCTTCCGCCGCCATCGTCGACCCGCGACCCTACACGACGCGCAGAGGGCGATCTCGGTGTGCAAGATCGAGGTGCCCGAGGTCAAGGACGAGGCCGGCAAGCCGAGGATCGGTGGTCTCTCTGACCCGCGCCTCGGCACCCTCGACCGCAACTACAAGTGCCAGACGTGCGGTGAGGGCCAGGCCGAGTGCCCCGGTCACTTTGGCCACATCGACCTGGCCAAGCCCGTCTTCCACATCGGCTACCTGGGCAAGGTAAAAAAGATCCTCGAGTGCGTCTGCACTCACTGCGGACGCCTCAAGTCGGATCCGGTGACCGACCCGGCGTTTGCGGCCATCCTGCGGGCGACGGAGCGGAATCGCAAGCGTCGCTTCCAGCGGGTGTGGGAGTACTGCTCGAAGAAGATGATTTGCGAGGCCGACGACCCCAAGGACGAGGACGAGATGGGCTTCGAGGAGCAGCCCAAGCTGGGCCACGGCGGCTGCGGCCGCTCGCAGCCAGCGATCCGGCGAGAGGGCCTCAAGCTCTTCTCGCAGTGGAAAAAGGGCAAAGGCGAGGACGAGGAGGGCGAGGAGACGGCCATCATGCAGCCCGAGAAGCGGCCGCTGCCGGCGTCCGAGGCGCACACCATCCTCAAAAAGATGACGTCGACCGACATCGCGATGCTCGGCCTGTCGGAGGAGAACGCGCGGCCGGACTGGATGATCATCACGGTGCTGCCCGTGCCGCCGCCGCCGGTGCGTCCGTCGGTGCAGGACGGAGGCGAGGACGACCTGACCTACAAGCTGGCCGACATCATTCGCGCCAACGCCTCGCTCAAGAAGATGGAGCAGGAGGGCACGCCGGCGCATATCCTGGCCGACTTTGAGCAGCTGCTCCAGTTTCACTGCGCCACGTTCATCGACAACGACATTGCCGGCCAGCCGCAAGCGATGCAGTCGAGCGGCAGGCCGATCAAGTCGATCCGCGCCCGCCTCAAGGGCAAGGAGGGCCGGCTGCGAGGCAACCTGATGGGCAAGCGTGTCAACTTTTCGGCGCGCACGGTCATCACGGGCGATCCCAACCTCGAGCTCGACGAGGTCGGCGTGCCGCGCTCGATTGCGCGCAACCTGACCTACCCGGAGCGTGTCACGCCCTACAACCGCGCCTGGCTGTCGGAGCTCGTCCGCAACGGCCCCAATGACTACCCGGGCGCCAAGTACGTCATCCGCGACACGGGCGAGCGCATCGACCTCAAGTACAACCGGCGGAGCGACATGGCGCTGCAGCCCGGGTGGATTGTCGAGCGCCACCTCAAGGACGGCGACTATGTCCTCTTCAACCGGCAGCCGTCGCTCCACAAGATGAGCATGATGTCGCACCGGATCAAGCTGATGGACTACTCGACCTTCCGGCTCAACCTCAGTGTCACGCCGCCGTACAATGCCGACTTCGACGGCGACGAGATGAACCTTCACGTGCCGCAGAGCGAGGAGACGCGCGCCGAGCTGGCCCAGATCGCCTGGGTGCCGCGGCAGATTGTGTCGCCGCAGGCCAACAAGCCCGTCATGGGCATCGTCCAGGACACGCTGTGCGGCGTGCGCAAGTTTTCGCTGCGAGACTGCCTTCTCGACTACGTCCAGGTGCAGCAGATCCTGCTGTGGGTCGCCGACTGGGACGGCGTCGTGCCGATGCCGTGCATCCTCAAGCCCAAGCCCTACTGGTCGGGCAAGCAGATCCTCTCGATGTGCGTGCCCAAGGGCATCAACGTCTTCCTGGACAAGGACAAGGGCCTCAAAAACAACTTCCTCAAGGACGACGGTGTCTACATCGAGAACGGCGAGATCATGTACGGCGTCATCAACAAGAAGGTGGTGGGCGCGGCGGCCGGCGGCCTGATCCACATCATCTTCCGCGAAAAGGGCCCCGTCGTGTGCAAGCGCTTCTTCTCCGGGCTGCAGCGCGTCGTCAACTTCTGGCTGCTGCACAACGGCTTCTCGATCGGCATCGGCGACACAGTGGCCGACAAGGCGACAACCGAGAACATCAACACCACCATCGCCGCCGCCAAGGCCGCCGTCATGGACTACATCCGGTACGCGCGGCACGATTGGCTCAAGTCCGACGCCGGCATGACGCTGCGCGAGTCGTTCGAGGCCAACGTCAACCGCGTACTCAACCAGGCGCGTGACGACGTCGGCAACCACGCCGAGGGCAGCTTGCCCGACTTTAACAACGTCAAGCAGATGGTCGTCGCCGGCTCCAAGGGCTCGTTCATCAACATCTCGCAGATGTCGGCGTGTGTCGGCCAGCAGTCGGTCGAGGGCAAGCGCATCCCCTTTGGCTTCCGCCACCGCAGCCTGCCCCACTTCACCAAGGACGACTTCACGCCCGAGTCGAGGGGCTTCGTCGAGAACTCGTACCTGCGAGGGCTGACCGCGCAGGAGTTCTTCTTCCACGCCATGGCCGGTCGCGAGGGTCTGATCGACACGGCCGTCAAGACGGCCGAGACGGGCTACATCCAGCGCCGACTGGTCAAGGCGCTCGAGGATGTCATGGTGTGCTACGACGGCACCGTGCGCAACTCGACCAACAACGTCATCCAGTTTGCCTACGGCGAGGACGGCATCGACGGCGCCCAGGTCGAGACCCAGGGCCTGCTGACGCTCAAGCTCAACGACGCCGACTTCCGCCGCATGTTCAAGGTCGACCTCCACGAGGGCGGCTTCAAGAAGGGCACCCTCCGTGCCGGCCTCGGCGACTGGTCGCAGGAGCTGCAGGACGTCCTGGACGACGAGTTTGCGCAGCTCCAGTACGACCGCGACCTGCTGCGCAACGAGATCTTCCAGTCGGACCAGGTCCAGGTGCGGCTGCCGATGAACGTGCCGCGCCTGGTGCTCAACGCCCAGCAGATCTTCCACATCGACCCGCGCAAGCCGAGCGACCTGTCGCCCTTCGACATCGTCCACGGCCTCCGCCGCGTCCTCGAGCAGCTCGTCGTCGTCCGCGGTGAGGATCCGATCAGCCTGGCGGCGCAGGAGAACGCGACGCTGCTGTTCAAGATCCACCTCCGCTCCTACCTCTGCTCCAAGATGGTGATCGAGGAGCACCACATCAACAAGGAGGCGTGGGAGTGGATCCTGGGCGAGATCGAGGGCCAGTTCGCGCGCAGTGTGGCCAATCCGGGAGAGATGTGCGGCACCCTGGCCGCCCAGAGTATCGGAGAGCCGGCGACGCAGATGACGCTCAACACGTTCCACTATGCCGGTGTGTCGAGCAAGAACGTCACGCTCGGCGTGCCGCGTCTCAAGGAGATCATCAACTGCGCCGAAAACATCAAGACGCCGTCGGTCACCGTCTACCTCACCGACGAGTACAGCCAGTCGCAGGAGTCGGCCAAGGTGATCCAGACGGCGCTGGCGCACACCACGCTGCGCACCGTCACGTCGGCCGTCGAGGTCCACTACGACCCGGACCCGTCCAACACCGTCATCGAGGAGGACAAGGACTTTGTCGAGGCCTTCTTCGCCATCCCCGACGAGGAGGTCGAGGCGAGCCTGGAGCGGCAGTCGCCGTGGCTGCTGAGGCTCGAGCTGGATCGAGCCCAGATGCTCGACAAGAACCTCACCATGGCCGAGGTCGCCGCCAAGATCAGCGCCATGTTCGGCCAGGACATCTTTGTCATGCACTCCGAGGACAATGCCGAGCAGCTCATCCTGCGCATCCGCGTCGTCGACAACGACCCGGAAAAGGAGGCGCAGGGCGAGGAGGAGATCTTCCTCAAGAACCTGGCCACCCAGATGCTGAGCGAGATCGACCTCAAGGGCATCAAGGGCATCAAAAAGGTCTTCATCGTCCAGCAGGACAACAAGACCCGGCGTGTCGACCCCGTCACGGGCGACTGGCGCACCGTCGTCGAGTGGGTGCTCGAGACGGACGGCACCAACCTCGCCGAGGTGCTTGCCGTCGACGGCGTCGACGCGGTCCGCACCTCGTCCAACAACCCCGTCGAGATCTTCCGCGTGTTTGGCATCGAGGCGGCGCGCAACTCGCTGCTCAAGGAGACGCGCGCCGTCATCGAGTTTGACGGCTCCTACGTCAACTACCGCCACCTTGCCATGCTCTGCGACATCATGACGAGCCAGGGAGCGCTCATGGCCATCACGCGCCACGGCATCAACCGCACCAACCAGGGCGCGCTGATGCGGTGCACCTTCGAGGAGACCGTCGAGCTGCTCGTCGAGGCAGCCGCCATGGGCGACGTCGACGACTGCCACGGCGTGGCCCAGAACGTGCTCCTGGGCCAGCTGGCGCCCATGGGCACCGGCGCATTCGACCTCAACATCGATGTCGACATGCTCAAAGACGTCATTGTCAACCATGCGCTGCCCTACGACACGATGCTGGCGGCGAGGAACATGGACGCCTCGGGCGGCAAGACGCCCGGCGGCATGACGCCTTACGACTCGAGCTCGCCCGCCTCGGACGACGCGTTCCGCGTGCACGAGCAGGCCATGTTCAGCCCGCTCGCCCAGGCCGGCGGCGACGAGGGCGGCTACAGCGACTACCTCAGCGCCGGCCAGAGCCCGATGCGCACGCCGCTCGGAGGGCAGAGCCCGGGGCCGGGCTACGGCTTCTCGCCCGTCTCGCCGGGCTACGTGCCGACCTCTCCGGGCTACGCCACCAGCCCGGCGGGCGCGCTGGGCGCCATGAGCCCGTGGACCGGCACCAATGGCATGGGCGCCACGTCGCCGGCCTACAGCCCGACGTCGCCGAGGATCTTTGGCGGCGCGACCAGCCCGAGCTACTCGCCGACGTCGCCGAGCTACAGCCCTGCGAGCCCCAACTACTCGCCCTCGAGCCCCACGGGTCACGGCATGAGCTACTCGCCCACCAGCCCGCGGATGAGCCCGACGAGCCCGGCGGCGAGGTACGGCGCCGTGACGAGCCCGCAGTACTCGCCCGCCTCGCCCCGCTTTTCGCCGGCGAGCCCCAACTACAGCCCGGCGAGCCCGGCATACACGCCCACGTCGCCCGTCTACTCGCCCACGTCGCCAGCGGCGGCGCGGCCAGGAGGCGGCAAGGGCTTCAGCCCGACGTCGCCGGCCTACTCGCCGACGTCGCCGCAGTACTCGCCGGCGTCGCCCGCGTTTTCGCCAACGTCTCCGCAGTACTCGCCCGCATCGCCCCAGTACTCGCCCAGCAGCCCGGCCTTTGGCGGCGCCACCAGCCCGGGTCCCGCAGCGTCGGGTGGAGCCGCCTCGCCGCGGCGGAGCCGCATGTCCAACAAGCCGGCGTGGCAGCGGTGATGACGGCGGGTTGAGCGGCCGAGCCGTCGTTGTCGTCGTCTGGCTTGCTCGCTCCTCATCATGCAACCCTGTCCCGCCCCTTCCCAACTCCTGCCCCTCTCTGGCCATGGCCAGCGCAGACGAGATGCGGCCTAGGCCCCAAGCCCCCTCCCTCACTTTGTCCTCTTCCATCCTCTCCTCTCTCCTCGATCCTGTATTATTGTGCCACGAGCGAGAGCGTTGCCCCCCTCCCATCCTCCCCGAATGCCCGCTCCTCCTCCTCCTCTCAAAGCCTTCAAAACCCAAACGAGACGATAACAATAACAAAAATTGGTGCCACCCTACCTCTCGCTCCCCATGTCAACTCAAACCAAAGCAGCTTGGCGCTATACATACATTCTCGCCTGCCCGGCCCCACCCGAAATCGCATGACATGCCTATGTGCCAGGCTTGGTCTAGTCTTTGCTGGACTCTTGCTTGGCGGGGGTGTATGTATGATGGATGGATGGATGGAGGAGGAGGGGGAAGATGGAACGATTGACTGAGCTAGGCATCGACGAGGCAGAGTGTCCGACCTCGTGTGAGAGGGCCCTCTTCATCCTCCCTCTCCCACTTCCTCTCCCGCTTCAACTTCGTCCTCCATGCCCTCTTCCCCCCGCCTCTAGATCCAGCTGTCGAGATCGACGAGGTCGACGTCGAGGAGGAGGAGGAGAAGACGACGACGACGAAGAAGAAGCCGTATCCACATCCTCGGCCTCTCCACCGAACGAAGCCGTCACACCATCCGCTTTCCTCTTTCCCAAGACCCGACTTTCACCGTCTTGCGCGGCACCTTCGCTGCTCTGTCCGGATGGCGAGGGAGGGGCGGCCAGGATCTGCTCAACAGTCGCTTCCTTACCCCTCCCCTCCCCCTCGTCCGCATTCGGCACGGGACGGCGTCCAAATACGGCCTGCATCTCGTCGTTGCACCTCTTCAACTCCTCCTCGTCCGCCCTCTCCAGCCGCTCAAGCATGTCGTGCTCCAGCGCCTCCTCTTCCTCCTGCTCCCGCACCGCACGGCGGAGTAGACGCAGGCCGTACCCTTCCATCCGTCCCAACTGTCCATGCCGGCGGAAGAGGTGCGTGTCGAGAAACCGCTCGATCTTGGATCGTAGCGCCGGAGAGAGGTGGGTTGTGTCCACCTCGGAGAGATCGGTGTACGCGGCGGTGGAGGGTGCCGGGTCCGTAGGCCGGTGATCGTTGCCCCTGTCGCTTTCAAGATCAGTGTCGCGGGTACTGCCGTCTTTTTCGCTCTGCGTGGCGTCGTCAGACGAGCTGCTGAGCTCGCTGAGTTGCGTATCGGAGGAGCTGCTCTCGTGGTAGCCTTCATCGTCTTGCGCGGCCTTCCTCGATCGGCTGACCGAGAAGGGGCGCGGGAGGCGGTAGGCATCGCCGATGGTGATCGTGATCGGGTCGCCACCCTCCCCATCCGAGTCGCCGTCGCCATCGTCGTCATCGGAGGAGAGACCGATCAGGTCCGGGTCGCGCTTACGAGCTCCGCCGGGTCGATACACTTCGTCAAAGCAGATCGGCGGGTCCATCTGCATCGCCTTGCGACTGAACTCGTCAAATACCATCGATCCCCAGTCGTCATCGTCGCCGGCCGCACCTTCGTCGCTGGCAAAGTGTGACCTCTTTCGTACCGCCTTGACGAGTCCGGGCAGGCTGTGCGGGTAGCCGAGCCGGGCGACGGCCGAGTAGACGGCCAGCGGCGAGATCTTGGGCAGGTCCTGCTTCTTGTCGAGCGAGTAGGGCTCGAGCGCCGTGATGACGCTGAACAGGACCTCGACCAAGAAGGCGCGGAAGTGCTCCCACAGCGACGCGAGCGCCTCGACGCTGATGCGCCGTGGACCTCGAGCCACGACGGCCTCGGCCTCTGCATCTGCTGCCTCGGCCTCATCAGCATCCGGCGCCGAGTAGGACTCCTCGAGCATCCCTATGATGCCCGGGAACAGCGTGATGGCGCGTTGCAAGTGCGGAGGCAGCAGCTCCATGCTGTAGGCTGCTGGCAGCGTCGCCGCGTCGTCCACCTCGCCCTCGCCCTTGCCCGATGCCTCGCCGTCGGGCTCTGTAGAGGCGCTCGGCATCGCCACAAATGCCTCGGCGAGTCCGACGTGGACGAGGCGGTTGTCCCGCCGCCTGATTCGGCTGATCGACTCATCGGCTGGCATGTCCGCGTTGGTGTCGTTTGGCTCGTCGGCAGCATCCTCGGCGGCATCCTCGGCGCCTGGAGAAGCGGTCGGTCGCAGGGTTGTGGCACCGTAGCGCCTCTCCTTCGTCAACATTCCCGCACGATCGCCGGGCCTCATGGTTTCTTCGTCGATCTGCTGCAGCGAAAGGCCTTGGTCGAGGCGCTCTTGCAGCTGGGCACAATACTGTCGGGCATGCTCGACGCCCTTCCTCTGTAGACGACCCGCGACCCGCTTCCGAACGGTGGCGAAGTCGTTCGGAGACAAAGCTCGCAGATCGACGCCCATGTCGTGGCCGAGCACGACCAGCGACGACGTAAGACCCTTGGGTGCGCGCGGCTTTCTGCTCGTGAGCCGACCCTGACTGTCTAGCCGGCTAGCAAGGTCGCGCACCGCGTCCATGCCACCGAAGGCGTAGAAGGCACGGATGCGCGCCTTGACCGACTGGCGCGCCTCTGGGACAATCTTTGAGAAGTCGATGCCGACGTCCTCGCCGTGGTAGATGAATCGTTCGCTGTGTTGACCGCGGCGCTGGTCCCTGCCCGCGTCGATGGCGCCACCGGCCGCTGGTGGGCCATGTCCACCGTTGAACAAGTCTGATGCCGCGGTCGAGGTCGCGATTGGTCCAGCCTCTTGCCGACCCATGTCGAGCGGGTCTGTAGAGGCATCGGGCGGAGCGGCAGTGGACTCCTCCGGGGGTAGGGCTTCGCGGTCGACGGGATTCGTTCCTTTAGGCTCCCATCCAGGCATATCTTGGCTATCGCCGTCTCTGTAAGCCGTGTAGCACAGACGAAGGTCCATGGTGGTCAGCGAGGACAGCAGCCGTGCTCGCGCTTCGGCCCTTGCTCGATGGAAGAGCTGATCTCCCCGCTCAGCTCTGGCCTCGATCGCCTCGAGGAAGCTGCTGTGATCCGCAGGCCCAGTCGTCTGGACCCCTGCGTCCAGAGAGTCGGCCCAGCAGAGGTAAGTCTGCTCGGATTCTTCCAGCAAGGCGAGGAGCGATCCGGTACTTTGAGGCCGGTCCGTAATGCCTTCGTCCAAGAGCTTTGCGATCCTGCTGCGCCGTTCCGAGTCCGAGCCGTCCTCGGCGCCTTCAGCCGATGCTAGCTCCAGGGTCTCGTCGGAGACCTGCACCGCGACGATAAAGCCGAGCTCTATCGCTCTCGACAATGCCGAGAGCACATCTCGCGCGCAGGTGATCGGGCTCGCCGGGTGAGTCGCGCAGAAGGCTGCATACTCCTTCCTGATCTTGGGTGGCTCGCCTTCGACGACTGCCTCGACGGCGCGAACCGATCTGAAGGCGCGGATCGGCGCGCGAGATAGGCGGTCACCAGTCGCTGGATCGGCGTCGTTCGAGCTCACCAGCACCGTGTTGGGTTCTCGATCTGGATCCAGGCGGGGTCGGTGGCGAAGGTAGAGCATTGTGGCGGCCACCTGCTCGTCGTACGCGACGGGAAGCGAGGCCGAGTAGAGCAACATGGCGCGATGCTGCTCCTCGGTAGGGGAAATCTGTGTATCTGTCTCTGTCGGAGGCAGCGTTTGCTCCTTGTTTCGTGCCCCTTCTCCGCCTTCTTGACCGTCCTTCCCGGGCGGCGGGGGCGGCGACAAGTTTGGCGGCAGGCCTGTGCCGTTGACCACGGGGGCGTCGGGTTCCATCGCGGTGAATGCGGAGGACTCTTCGTGGTTTTGCAGAATGGCCAGACGCTCGGCCACCACGCCGTATCGATCGGAAAAGATGCTGGCTTGAAGCTCCTCGAGCTCGATCCACTCGTCGTTCATTTCCTTGGCTGCGGGGAGTCGTTTCCAGCGTTGCTCGCGAAGACGCGCACGAGCCCGGCGCACCTGGTCCTTGCTTGACGCGGTCTTCTCGATAAGATCACTTGTGACTGCAGGGCTGCCGGGGGAATCTCCCGCTCGTCGCGCTGAAAGGCCTTGTATCGCAGCCTTGCCGCTCGGTCCTGATGCATTCGCCTGCCAACTCTCGTGCTGACGCGGAGACCTGGGCTGCGGTCTGAAGAGGAGGTCGCGGGTAGCCAGGTCCAGCTCGGCAGCCTCGAGCTCAGCTGCGCCTTGCTCTAGGGCCCTGATGTAGAGGCAGACCTGTGGCAGCGTCTTTGTGCGCACGTCCTTTGCGATGAGGTCCGGACGGAGCTTCGAGTGGCGGGCAATGGAGCGGTAGAAGAGGTCGAGCTCGACGTCGGACCACGAGGGTCCCGCAATGGGGTGCTGGAGGTCGGGGGGCGAGCTCGACGCATCGTTGTTTTGGTATTGAGGTTTGCGGAGGGGCTGGAGGTGCTGTGCAAAGTCGTCGGCCTCTTGCAGCAGTAGGTCGAGGTAGGCCTCGGTCGCCGAGTCCGGCGCGGCAGAGGTGTGCATGGCAGTCGAGGTTTGTTCCGCCGCTGCCTCGACCGCCGAGTCCGCCGCAGCCGTCATTGCGATGGCTTGACGAGCAGCTCCACTGCACAGCGTTGAGGACTCCCGCTGCAAGAGGACGGTCGACGTCGGTGGTGGCCAGGGTGGGTTGGTGGTGGTGACGGCGAGGAGCAGAAGAGCATCGAGGTCAAAGAACGCGGCAGGTTCATCTCGGGCCTGGCTCCTCCACTTTAAACTTTTTTTTCCTCTGTTGGGCGCGGGTGTCGGGAGCAGCCAGCAGCCCCGAGAGCTCGTGTGTGGACCCTGTGGGCGAGCTTGCTTGCTGTTTGCTGCTTGGCTCCGTGGCCTGGCTTGGCCGTGACCACCTCGTTTCAGTCACTGGACGCACCCTTCCAGCCGACATACATACACCTCCGGCCTTGATTGCTGGTTGCGAGCAGCCGGGCTGAGCTGCCTCTTCTCTCTAGTCCACCACCACCACCACCGCCAGTCGTTGCGCTGCCCAATCATCTTGCTCCTGGCCTCCCTGCGGCACGGGCCGACGCCGGATCTCTCACGGTCCTCGGACCAGCCGACGGCCCACCCGAGAGCCACTACTACCTCGTATCCTCGGGGCGTGGTCGACCTGCGCAGCTACGATTAATCAGCCAGCCGGACAGGCCTGCCTATCTTCATCAAGCGCCGCGAGCAGCTCAGCGGGTCCAGCCGGATAGATCCATGTAGAGAGATGGCCTCGTCGGCGCAGTTTCCCTGGCTTTCCGCTCGTAACGTGTCTGGCCACGCTGGATAGTCGGCCTGACCAGCGCAGCGCCCACACAAAACATCGGCACAGCCACACACAACCAACCTCGCTCCGTCCTTTGCCATCGCTGCATCAAGTCACACGGACTCCTTCCCCATCACTGAGGCGAGATGGACCTCTACGTCTCGCCAATCCCCAAGTGGGCCACGCCCGAGCAGGTTGAGACCGAGATCGCCACGGCGCTTCACACCGAGCCCGTGCTCCGGCGCGGACAGGAGCGCACCAACTTCGCCCTCAAGCTCCTCACAAGGCAGGACGGCACCCCTTACGGGCACGCCTACCTCACCATCCCCGAGCCCACCACCGCCAACCGCTTTCTGGAAAAGTGCGCCGTCGGTCGCCGGTCCCGCCCCGTCATCCTCTACCACGACGACCAGGCCTGCGTTCTCCAGTTCAGGATCAACGGCTTCGCAAAGGCACGAGATGTACAGAAGCTCCTCGAAGAACCTTACCGCGATCCCGCGACCGAAAGCGCTTGGCAGAGGAGAGGAGGCTCCAGCTACAGGCCGAGGCCCTCCGGCTCAGGGAGGACCACCGTCAGCGAGAAGAGAGGCGACGCGCCCTCGACGAGCAGCAGAGAGCGCAAGCCAGAGCCGAGCAGGCCCAGCGATCAAAGGCAGGCATCCGCGACCGCGCAGAGAGACGCAAAGCCGTCGCAAAGGACAGCGGCAACGACAAGAAGCCAAGGCCGGTCCAGGCCCGAGGCGATTCACAGAGCGAAGCGAGAGTCAAGACCAAGGCGGAAGCAAGAGCACCTGCAGTGGCACCGAAAGCGATCAAAGACGGCCCCGATCGCGAAGGCAGGCGTAAGACGTCGACATCGCAGCGGGACGGGCGTGAGGCAGAGCATCTGCTAGACCTGGCTCTGCCGGACCCGGGTGCTCGAGATATTGCCAGCCTCGCCTCCCGGCTGACGTCGTTTGAGTCGCAGGCGCAGTCCAGCCCTGCACCCGGTCCAAGGCGGACACGAGGCACCAACGAGGTCGACAAGAATGCCGCCTACGGACGGCCGGGAGCGTGGAGGACGATCGCCTTCGGCGTCATCTGCCACGACGGCACGTTCTCGATCGAGGACGAGGAGAGGCTCGCCGTGCCGCTCCCCGCAGCGCTCTCGGAACACACCCAGACCGTCATCTTTGGCAACGAGCGCACCAACGGCGTCAAGATCCTGTACAACACGCTGGTCCGATGGTCGATCCACGAGCAGGAGGTCACCTTCGAGCTCGATCGCCCTGCCACATTTATCAGAAACGGTCGAGTGTCGACTTACTGGTGCTTCAAGGCGCACCAGGAGGACGACCCCAACTTGATGGAGCGGCGGCGCTACTGCGCACCCTACGTGGGCTGCGCCTTCCGCGTCGTCTTCACCTCTCACGAGGAGCTCGACGCCTTTCTCCTCCACGCCAAACGGGTCTTCATCCGTGCCGGCAACCTCTCAGAGCCGCGCTGGGGCGTCAAGCGCAGCCTCTTCCGTGCCTCGCACCTCGATGCGATCCAGTCTCTCTGCGCGCGCCTCAGCATCCCACTGGCATTCCAGGTCGAGCGGCTCTTCCTCAACGCCCTCCTCTTCCCCCCGGACGTCCACGATCTCGAGTACTTCGTGTCTCGTTCCATCAGGGACCGCGGTGAGGCGGCAACTGCGGTCCTCGTGATGAACCTGGCCGTGTCGATCCAGAGGACCCGGGCCATGCACGGCACGAGGGAAGCCGAGACCCACCTAGACCTCCGCGAGCTGTGGGCTCGCGAGGCGAAGCGGCTCTCCCACGCCAAATCGACGGCCGAAGACCCGCTGTCGGTCGGCCTGGGCGCCACCTTTGAGGTGTACAACGCCACCGTGACGCCGACGCGCGTCATCTTGGCCGGGCCGGTCGTCGACACATCGAATAGAGTATTGCGAGCGTACCCCGAGCACGCCCACCACTTCCTCCGCGTCTCGTTCGCCGACGAGGACTTCGATCGCTTCCCCGTCGGCCGCCGCGACCTTCGCGAGGTTGATGCAGAATCCTTTGTGCACGAGCGCATCGGGGGCATCCTCAAGGACGGCATCACCGTCGCGGGGCGCAAGTGGGATATGCTGGCGTGGTCTGGGTCTTCGCTGCGGACGCACCAGTGTTGGTTCTCTACCCCCTTTGTCGACGACCAAGGCAGGCGTTGGACTGCAGACCTGATCCGACAGGGGCTCGGCGCCTTCTCCGAGGTCGAGAGGTTCCCTGCTCGCTTCGGAGCGCGTCTGTCGCAGGCCTTCAGCGCCACCGCCCCAACCATCCGCCTGCGCGACGAGTGGGTCGAGGTCGTCGACGACATCCGGTCGCCGACTGGCAACCTCTTCACCGACGGCGTCGGGCAGATCTCGCCCAAGCTCATGCAGGCCGTCTGGCTCGAGTACTGCCGGGTCAAGATGATGATCAACGAGCGGCGCCGCGAGGTCCTGGCGGCCAAGGTGCCTTCGGCCATCCAGGTCCGCATCGGCGGTGCCAAGGGCGTCCTGTGCGTCAACCCGCTGCTCACGGGGATGAAGGTCAAGCTGCGCCCCTCGATGATCAAGTTCTCGGCGCCCAAGCACACTGAGGTCGAGGTGGCCACCTCGTCGCTGCACCCTCTCCCGACGCGGCTGAACCGCCCTCTGATCAACGCCCTCGAGGATCTCGGCGTGGGCTTTGCCAACTTCCTGGTGCTGCAGAGGCTGGCCGTCGAGGAGGTCAACCAGGCGCGGCTCTCGTTCAAGGCGGCCTCGGAGCTGTGCAAGCGGTACGGGTTCGGCACAGCCTTCGGTTCCCTCGCCGTCTTTGAAAAGCTCCAGACCCTGCTCGGCCTGGCGCCGCAGCAGCTCGACGCGACGGGCATCCTCAACCGCCTCATTGGCACCTCGATCTCGGCGGCGCTCGGCGATCTCAAGCGCAAGGCGCGCATCCCCACGCTCGGCCCGACGCTGATCGGCGTGGCCGATGAGTTTGGCTTTCTCAGGAAGGACCAGATCTTTGCCCAGGTCGAGGAAAAGGACGGCCGCACCCGGGTCATCGAGGGCATGATCCTGATCGGACGCTCGCCGACCATCCACCCGGGCGACACTCGCATGGTGCGTGCCGTGGCGCCGCCCAAGGACCATCCGCTGATGCAGCTGAGGAACGTCGTCGTCTTTAGCTGCGAGGCCCATGGCAGGTCGCTGCCGTCGATGCTCGGAGGCGGCGATCTCGACGGCGACATCTACAGCCTGTACGAGGAGCCGCTGCTCTTCATCAACCGCAACTTTGCGCCGGGCACCTACAAGCAGCCCAAGAACAAGCAGCTCAACCGCACCTGCAAGCCGGCGGACCTGGCCGACTTCTTCACCGACTTTGTCATCAACGACCAGATCGGCGTCGTGTCGCATCTCCACCTGCACATTTCGGACCGCAGCGACGAGCACTCGCTCGACCCGGACTGCGTCAAGCTGGCCAGCCTGCACGCGCAGGCCGTCGACTTTTGCAAGACGGGACAGGCGGTGCACCGCAGGGACATGCCCTACCTGCCCTTCCGGAGCAACCGGCCCGACTACCTCGCGCAGAACGACCACGCCCCGGACGTGTACAAGAGCAAGCGCGCCCTCGGCCGACTCTACCGCGACATTGCCTGGACCGACACCGACATGCCTCTGGGCCCGGCGCAGATCTGGCTCAGCGGCGACGGCGACGGCGACGGCGACCAGGCAGCGCCGTCGGCGACGTCGGACATTGTCGCTATCCTCGATGCGGTCGGGGCGCGCTTTCCGTACGCCAGGCCGACGTCGCAGCAGGCCGAGCGGGCGATCCAGGAGCGATGCACGCCGCTGCTGCGCTCCTTCACCTACCACCTTAGCCGGATCGCGGCGTGGGTGCCCGAGAGCCGGCACACGGCCGAGTGGCTGCGCGAGGAGGAAATCATCCTGGGCTCGCCCGTCATGGCGACGACGTCGAAGCTCAAGCGGTGGCAGGAGAAGCTGCAGTCGGCCACGTCGGAGCTCGTGCCCATCCTGCGGCACCAGCTCGGCGTCATTGTGACGGGCGGCGATCCGCTCGCCATCCGCCGCGCGGGCAGGACGGACCTCGATGCGCAGCTGCAGCACCGCAACTTTGGCACGGGCCGCGGCGAGACGTACGACGAGACGTGCCGCGCTGCCCTCGAACGGGCCGAGGCGGCGCCGCAGCACGAGACGGTCGTCGAGCGCACGGGCCTCGTCGTCGATGTAGATGTCGAGGTGGATGGCGAGCGCGGTCGGACGGCGCTGGACCGGCTGGGCGTCGAGGGCGAACTGGTCCCTTCGTTTGCCGGCATCTCGCTGTCAGAGGCGAAAAAGGGCAGCGGCGGCGGCGGCGGCGCCCTGACCCACGAGAATATCGACCACGATGACGACGACGACGAGTTGGAAGAGATCCGCGGTCTCTTCGCCGCCTGCCTGCTGGGGGCGCACGACGTCATCTCGCGGTCGTTTGGTGGCAGTACCTTCGCGCTCGTCGCGCTCGGGTCGCTCCTCAACCTCATCGAGGCGAGGGAAAAGAGGCTGGCTACCCGGCCCGTCCCTCTGCGCTGATATCCCGAACCCCCCAGACCTCTAGCAGCACCAGCAGCGCCACGCTGCCGACCCTCGTCGGCCGTTTCTCGAGCCGAGCCGAGCCGAGCCGTGTCGTCATGTCGTTACCACCAGAGGCTCGACGCCGCGCAGGGGGCTCTGCAGATCGAACCTGTATCTAGAGACCATGTCATTCCCTTCCCCTTTCCACGCAGCGCCCCCCCCTCCCTCTATTCCGCGGGGGGCTGGTACGGCTCAATGAGGAGTTTCTGTCACCGTCAGCGCACAAGGGAGAGAGGGAAGATGCTCGGGTTAGCGCGTCTGTACAGGAGTCTCGGCACAAAGACCGGGCAGCGAGGCACGGGCGGGGCCCACTTACGGAGAAGGACTGGATCTTTTCCGTCCCCCTGACTTCCTCGGTGAGGAGGGGCATGCGGACAATGTGGAAGTCCTCGGCGTAGAGGTCCATCATCTCGGCCAAGTACTTTTCCTGCATCGACTTGCGCACCTGGCAGTGTTCGCAGTTGGATCCTGCGACGAGCGAGGAGAAGGAGCGAGGAGGGGGCGGCCAGGAGAGGGAACGGGAGCAGAGGTCAGGCTCAGGCTGCGCCTCCCGCTGAGCGTCAAGGGAACGAGGGGCTGGGATGGCGGGACTTGCCTTTCTTTGGGAAGAGGAGCTGGTTGCACACAATGTTGTGCGTGTCGATCTCGTACTGGGTCAGCTCCTGGATCAGCCGCTCGGTCTCGTAGAGCGAGAGGAACTCGGCGATGCAGACGCAGACAAACGTCGTCTTGTCCTGCGGGCGGCGGCGGGGGCGGAGCAAAAGAGAGGGATAGGGAGAGGCCCGGGGGAATTGGGCAACTTCAGCGACTGATCACCGCGGGCGAGCTTCTCTTTACGATGATGGGCCACACTGCCCGCCCTGGCCGAGGGGCACTCACGGGATCGGTAAACTGCGAGTTGACCTCGTTGATGACCTCGCGCATGCTCTCGAGCTTGGCAAAGAGGTCCTCCTGGTTTGCGCCGCCGCCGCCCATCATTGAGGTGAACTGGTTGAGCATGGGTCCGAGGTTGCGCCCCAGGGCCGAGAACTTGGCGAGGGCCTTTTCGAGGACGCTGGGGAACGAGAGGAAGCGGAGGGTGTGGCCGGTGGGGGCCGTGTCGAATACGATGACGCTGTACTCCATCGACTTTACGTGCTTCATGATCTCTGCGAATCCCATGGCCTCGTCTACGCCGGGGATGGCGAAGGCGAGGTCCTGCATCATGCTTCCCATGGCGCCGCCCTGGGAGTCGGACTGCTCGATCATCTCCTGGATGCTGCTGGCGGGGTCGATTTCCATTGCGCTGAGGTTGTCGAAGCCGTTGACGCGGGTGGCCTCCTTGCCAAACTTCTGGCCAAAGGCGTCGGAGAGGTTGTGGGCCGGGTCGGTCGAGATGAGGAGGACCGACTCGCGCACGCGGCTGAGCTGGATGGCGAGCGAGCACGACGTCGTCGTCTTGCCGACGCCGCCCTTGCCGCCGACAAAGAGCCACTTGAGCGACTTTTGGTCGAGGATGTTTTGCAGCGTCGGCGGCAGCGCGTCGGCGACTACGGCGGTCGACATGGCGGGCGGACGGGGGGGAGGCGAGGACAGAGGTTGGTGTTGGCTACGGTGCGACGCGGTGTGGTGCGAAGTGTCGACGGCTGCGCGTGTGTAGGGGCTGTGTGCCAGGTTGGCGGTGGTGGTGGACGAGGTGTTGGGTCGGGCAGGGTGGATGGTGGAAGGATGCTGCTATCAGAGGTAGGTGTATGTTGGCCGTTGGCCTGCTTCGGCTGGCTTCGCTGCTCTTCTTCTGGGCGTCGGGTCGGGCTGCGTAGCGTGGCGTGGCCGCTATTCTGGCTGGCTGGCCTTGGTTGAGCGCTGGCTGGTGCGCGCGACAGAGTCTTGTGCCAGCTGGCTCGGTCTGGCTGCTCGCTGGCCAGCCTGCCTTCTCCCCTCTCTCTGCCTCTCTGAAAGCCGGCCAGGGCCAGGGCCAGGGCCAAGGCCAAGCCAGCGAGCGCGTGCCGCCTCCACACGGCCCTCTGGCCTGCCTGCCTCGACTGACGCACAGACGCACGCTCTGCCTGCCAGAGGCCAGCTCCCTCCTCGACTCTCTGGCATTCTCGATACGACGGTCTGCCCCTTCGTCGAGGTCAACGGCCACCTGTCTGCTCTACTACTGTACTGTACATACAGGCCCAGGCCAGCTAGGCCTTTCTCCTGACCATGTTCTTGAGCATATCAAACGAGTTGCCGTCGGGCTGCAGCTCAATCACCTCGTCGACCCCATACCCGCCGCCCCTCGACGACGACGACGACCACGCCCGCTCGTCCCACGTCGTCACTGAGCTGCCCACCCGCACCGCCCGCAGCAGCCCGTGGTCCGACGAGATGCCCACGATCCTCACCTTGCTTCCCTCGTCGACCGCGCTACCCAGCTTGACCGCCTCCCCGTCGCCACCCAGCGCATCGGCACCGAGAACCACCTCCTGGTCCGAGTGCAGCCACATGCGCCGGTACCGCTCCACAAACGGCCCAAAGTCGCCCCCGCTCCCCAGGAACGTCTTCCACATCGACTCAAACACGCGCAGGATGGCCGCACCCAGCTTCTCCTGGCTCACCTCTTCCAGCCGGTCCGCGTCCGTTCCTGGCCGACTGCGGTTGTGCAGCTGCACCAGCTCCAGCAGCGACGTCGTCGGCCGCGAATTGAGACAGTTGATGCCGCACCCCGAGATGAGCACAAACTCCTTGCCGCCCGAAAATTGCGAGTTGACCAGGATGCCCGCCATCTTGGCGTACCGCTTGCCCTTGTGGTCGAACGTCGCCGTCCGAGCCGGTGCTGCTGCTGCGGCGGCGCCCTCGCCCTCGCCCTCGCCGTCATCGCCCTCGATGGGCACCTCGGCGTAGACGTCGTTGGGCCACTTGATGCGGATCTTGCTCGCCACCTCGCGCCCCGCCGCCGTCGGCCCGAGCGCGATCCGGATGCCCTCGACAATGGCCATGGCAGACAGGTACTGCAGGAACACGGTCTTGGCCGCCATCTCGAGCGGCACCTTGAACACCGACGAAAACTGCAGGCACCCGCGCGGCGAGATCCACCGGTTGCTGCCGCGGCCTCGCCCGCTCATTTGCTGCGTCGCGAAAAACGTCGTCCCCACCGGGAACGCGGAGAGGAAGCGGAAGTTCTTGTCGAGCATCGTCTGCGTCGACGTCACCATCTCGCCGTACAGCGTCGTCTGCCCGACTCGGATCGACGACGGATCAGCGCTCCCGCTGCCGCCAAGGCTCGACGAGCCCGCCCAGCCCGCGCCGAAAAAGTGCGACATGCCCGCACCCCCACCTCCGCCGCCGCCGTGGCGGGTCCATCGCGCCCAGTTGCCGTCTTCGTTCTCGAGCTGCTTGACCGCATCGCCAAACTGCGAGAGGTAGCGACGATACTCGGCGATGTTCCAGTGGGGCAGCAGCGTCGGGTCCGGCAGGTCGGGATCGCCTCCCTGGCCCGGGTAGCAGAGCAGGTACTTGGGCACGCTGTCGAGGTCCACCTCCTTCTCCTGCTCGGCTGGCGCATCTGACGCATCGTTGACGGCGGCGTCCTTGTTTGAGAGCAAGACTGGCTTCGAGAACGCATCGTAGCTCGCCGAGCGGCAGAGCTGGAAGAGGCGGTCGGCCGTCTCGCCAGTGGCGCGGTAGAGGTGGATCGAGTCGTTCGAGTCCTTGAAGCTTCCGATGAGGTCGCGCTGGAGCCCGTCCTGCGAGATGCTCTCTGTGGAGAGATGGCTGACAACGGCAGCATTCTTGGTCGCCACCTGACGCAGCGCCTCGAGTGTCGTCGAGAAGCTGCGGGAATCGGTCGAGGTGACAATGATGGGAAGCAGCTTGGGCTCGCCAGAGTCCGGCACCGTCGTGCCCGTCACCGCCGTCGCCGCCTTGGCTGCATCGCCTTGGACGACCCAGTCGGGCAGTTCCGCCCGCAGACCGAGCCGCTCGGCCAGCACGTCCCTCAGCCACGTCAGGCGTCGCTTTTCGTGATGCAGCAGCTCGGCCTGCTTCCGCTGCGCCTGACTGGCATCCTGCGAGTCCGGGCCCACCACCTGATCCTTTGATGCCGAGAGCTGGACCGCCTGGCTCCACGGCAGGAGTGGGAACTCGGGATGGGTTCCAAACAGCAGGGCCTTGCCCTTGCCCACCGAGCACAGCACCGAAGCGGCCTGGCCAGCGTACGCAGGCTTCTTGGCCGGCAGCTGCGTCGGCGCCCGGCCGGCCTCTGCGGGAGCGGTAGCGTTGAGGTCGATGTCTAGCTCGAGCTCGAGCGCCTCCTCCCCCGGCGCCGTGTACCTCACCAGCACTTCGACGCCCATGTCGCGGAACGAGTCGGCGTCCATAAAGGCGCCGCCGCCGTTGTAGTGACACCGCCATCGCTTCGCCGCATCGACCCCGCGTTCGGCTTGCGACGGTGTCGGGGCGTCAGGCAAGGGCCGGACGAGGTCGAGGTCCACGATGCGCGCGCCCTTGTCGGACTCGTAGACGAACCCCGGGTAGACGGTGCCGCTGCAGGTTCCCGGGAAGAATCGGAGGAAGGGTCTCGCGCCGTCGACCTGGATGGGGCTGCCCAGCTCAAAGGCGCAGTGACCAGAGGCGTAGTAAGCCCCTGCGCAGATTCCGCAGAAGCTGCCGCCGTGCTGCTCGACGAACTCGACGACCTTTTCATAGGCCTTCTCTCCTCGAGCCGTCCCGGCTGCAGCGGTAGTGGCGGAGGAGTCGGACCTGTAGTGCGTACGGGAGAGTTCCTCTACGTACGGCAGATCCCTGCCGCCGGGGAGGACGAGGAGGCTGGTGGACTGCTGCCACGGGTCGAGGGCTAGCGTCTTGGCATTGACCGTCTGGACGTCGTAGGTGGGCAGCAGCGTCTTTAGCGTCTTGAGCGTGTGGTGCAGCGCCGAGGACGATACGCCCGGACCAGAGTAGACGAGGACGTTCGACATCGCTGTGGTTGGCCGCCGCGCAGATGGTGCTGCGGCGTATCCGGCGCGATGATGGTGGGTTTGTCGTAACTTGAGCGCGGGGACGCTGATCGAGGTGGTCCAGGGTCGGACCAGGGAGCGAAGCAGCGATGGCGCCAACTCGGACCCGTCGCGCAGGGCGAACCGACCGAGGAGACGAGCAGCGGTGGTGAAAATGGCTGGCGGTTCCCGTCCAGGAATGATCCGGTGGAGAGATGGTATGGTATGGTATGGAGGAAGGGAGGGCGGAGCTAGCCTGCCTTGTCGCGGGTCCAAAGGTGGTGGGCTTCCAAAGGAGACAAGAGGACCTGGCCCGAACGCAAGAAGGCCTCGGGTCGCGTGTCGGCCATTTCGGCCCTGGCTCACCCGATCTGGATTTTCGTCTCCCAGGGGCCAGCCAGAGTTGCTCGCCTCTCTGTCGGCACTCTGCCACACCGGCTGCCGAGGAGGGAAGGCAAGCAGCATGTCGAAGTTCTCTCCAGCATGGCACTACGGACGGCGACCAAGACCAGCGTCACTCTGCGGCAGCCTCCGCATGTCCACCATTCTCCTGACCTCAAAGCGCGCTCTGCTCGGCCTGCTCATCGTCTGGCGCACAGACCGGATCGCGTGGGAGCGGGTGCCCCTCGTGCTCTCCTCGCAAGCAAGCTCACCACGCCACGAAATATCCCGGACCAGTCGCGCGAGCGACGCACACGCTGTCGAGGTGTTGCTAGTCAAATCTCATTCTCATCACCGCAGCGCACCCGTGATCCGCATCGACTGGGGCGCCTATGCGGTCCAGACGCGCGCAACAAACTCCGAGAGGCCGACATCGTCTACGGCGGGGGCAAACAGAGAAGCAGAGGAGACGGTGGAAGGGTGGTCAGCAGCCGAAGATCAGATCATTCCTGTGACTGCAAAGCGGGGGAAGCTGTACTCACTTGTGTTGATCTCTGTGGTTTCAAGGGGCGGGCAGAGGCATCGTGATGCAAAGGAGGATGAGCAGAGGTCAGCACTGTCAATACTAGCCTCGCAAAAGAGCACGTATTGACATGTCAATGCAGCACCAGCGGCAGCCTTCGGCGGTGCACCGAATTTGTGCGCCCGTGGCCTGCGAGCCGAATGTTGTAACCGCCACCTCTGCCGTGACCGCGGGACGGCAAGGAACGCAGCGCCAAGCAGACCAACTCACCGTACAGGCCGTAGAGAGCGCCGGCGGAGGCGGCACGGAGAGCCCAGATGAGGATGGGTCCGAGGATGGGGAACTTGCGAGGGTGGAGGTAGTCGCTTCTGATGACGTCGAAGCCAATGTGCGAGTGGACGAGGAGGCTGATGGCAAGGGCGCCGTCCAGGAGACCCGAGGAGCCGTGCTTGACCATGCCGGCGCCAACGATGGGGACAAGCGCCACCGAGAGCAGGCGCTCGACGGACCAGTGGTACGAGCCGTGCACCGGGTTCGGCGTAGGGAAGGGGGTGGGGTCGTTGACGGTGCCCTTGACGTAGGCTGCCGGGGCATGGAGAGGCACAGGACCGGGTAGAGAGCCGTAACTCAATGTCAGCATGCGGGAACCGTGGCAGTCGCTTTCTGTCTCGCCACGCCGCTTTCCTCCAAGAAATGTGCGTGCGACTCTAGTCCATCGCTGACCAGAGGAGGTCCACCCGGCCACCACGGCTAGCCTCCAAAGACGCATGCTCGAGGTCGGTATTGCGACTCCGGGGTTGGCATCCTTGCATCTATGCCAGCCCATGATGACAGCAGCGCCCAGCCCTTGTCATTCCCTAGGATCCCATCAGGCGAACGGACCCAGCACTCCATCGAGCTGCGTCCCTGCTCCGCTTTCGGATACTCACGTCCCTGTCGGCTAGCAGCGACAGCAGACTGTCCCTGCGGCTTGGCGGTCTGGAAGCCGCGGGCGCCCATGGCCATCATGCGGAGATGAGGGCTGGTGGCCGAGGCGTGGAGCCTGAGGGGCTGGAGAGCCAGGAGGGCGGAGCGAGACGAGGCCATGATGGTCGAAGTCGGGTCGGTGCGTCAATCAGTGAAGGAGCGGTGGCGGCGGTGGTGGTCGGGAGGTCGAGCCGTTGGCGCGTGAGATGTGCAGGGAGTGTCGCTGATGTCGTCTCGCAGCAGGCAGAAAGGCAAGGTGGACGCGTGTGATGGTGACGAGCAGTCAAAGAGACGACGAGGTGAAAGGGTGCGGGGCCACCCGCCCGCCCCACCAGCCGACGCAGCCAGCCGACACAGCCAGCCAGGCTCACTTGGTCGCGGGCGTTGGCGGCACTTGCGGCCGAGCCAGGCCAGGCCATCGCGGGGCAATTGGTAATCCAGCCAGCCGGGCCCCTGGTCCAGCGATCGCGCGCGCCTGCCCGCCAGCCTGGCAGGCCTCTCCGCTTTTTGAAAAGGGTTCATCCGGCCTCACCCGCGCCAGCCCGAAGTCAGCCACGGCCAACTCGGAGCCGAAGGACGCTTCTTCACTCGAACCTCGAGACCTCCTCGTCCTCCTCGTCATCGCCGCTTTCGCCTACGGCGCTGCCACTGACGATACCTGTCCACATGAAGGCATGTCATTCCGTCTGATTGCTCCTCTGCCTGAGCATGCTGGGTCGAGGGAGTCACCGCCGCTTGAAAAGCCCACGACTGCATCGCTTCGATCGTCTATCGAGGCGGAAGTCTGATCTCGTAGCAACCGCGAGAGGACTTCCAGAAGCAGCACAGACAGCGGTAGAGACACATAGACAGGCGATGGCCCCCATTTGACTTGGCTTCGTTCTCAGAATCAATCTTCAGTTCATCACAAGCGAGCGGTACAAGAACAAGCCAGCGGCTACCGCCATTGAAGCGCAATTAATGACAATGACGGCTGGACTGAGCCCAGTGTCCAGCAGCAGCAGGGGCGGCGGCGGCGACAGTTGACCAGAGCGAGGATGAACACCAAGGAAGCTCGGCACAACAGCTGGATCAGATAGAGATGTAAAAGTTATCGGCAGGTCCAGCGACTCCACGCAGGGACATCGCCAGACGGTCCGTGCTTGACTCTATTAATTGTAGATCATCATGTCGAGCTGCTGTGCCGTCCGAGGTGGTCGCTCCCATGTTCTGATAACCGGTCGCCGACGCCATAGCTGGAGCCGAACCGGGAGTCGCAGGGTGAGGGCCGTGGTCGTAGCCGTGATCATGATCGCAGCTGTCGGTGATCGCATTGAGCGACGCCCATCGTACCCTCACGTCGTTCAAGTTGTCGAAGGTCGTCTATCGTCTGTTATTGCAGTACGATGCAGCTGTTCGTGCTAGGTATCGTACATTGTGTCGATGAAGGGCGAGACGGAAGGTGTCGATGGGAGAAGCCGAAGGGGACGGGGGATGAAGGGTGTGGTGTCGGAGGAAGAAGGAAGAGAGAAGGAGGCTGCCGGCTTCGCTTTGAGGCCAAGAAGAAAAAAAATCCCGGGAGCGACCCACTGAATGGACGGGCCGACCGGCGGACGGATCTGCCCGTCTTCGGAACCGGCCGCCTGCACGCAGGCCCCCGGCCTGGCCTGGCCCCAAAAAGCAGGCGGCCCGGCCGCTCAAACCTTTGGGGCGCCTTGCTGGGCCTCGCTCTCCTCGCCGAGATGCGGGCGCGCCAGGCCAGCCCAGGCCAGGCTGTTGGTTAGGTGGGCGCGCAGGGACCAGCTTGGCTGCGCTGCGCCATCGATCTCCCGCGGCCGGCGCTGCGTCGGTCGAGCGAGGCCACAGCGGAAGGCCCTGCTCGGTACCCACCTATCGATGCTCTACGCCGTGGGTTTCGCCGAACAACAGATGGTTACGCTATGCTGCCCCTCTCTCGCCTTGCCACGCCCGGCTAGCAAGCACGCATGCTGCTGCTATCGGTTCGTCGATCATGTACCTTGCCCAGGGTGATGTGATCTCGACCTCGAACCCACGGGGATGGTGACGGGTGGCCACGGAGACGACCCTGGCCTCGTCTCTGATCCTCATCGACGTGGGCGGCGGCGGCAACGGCGGCGCGTCGTCTGCTCGGCGAAAAGCCTGGGCAGGGAAACGGCGCGCGAGCCGGCGAGCGCAGCGGAGGCAGGGCAAGAAAAAAAAAGTTTGGGATTTGCGAGCGTCGGTGGGGAGGGGGGAACCCTGCCTGCCTGCTTGCCTGCCTGCCTGCCTGCCTGCCTGCCTGCCTGCCTGCCTGCCTGCCTGCCTGCGTGGCCGGAGCTTCGAAAGGGCTGTTGCTCGTTGCTGCTGCGCGGACCACGCTAGCCAGGCCGCACACTTCTGGCTCGCCCACACCGACCGACCGACCGACCGACCGCCCAACCAACCAACGGAAGCTTGCCGTCCTCGAACCTGGCGCCTTCCCCCCTCGTCGCCATCGGCCTGTCATCGCCACCACCACCACCACCACCATCACCCTCGCTGGCGTCGTCCCCCTTGTTCCCTCACCTTCTCACGACCTCTGGACGACTGAACGCCGCCGCCGTCGCCGCCACCGCCGTCCCCACCTCTTCCTTCTTCCCCGCCGGTCGACCCATCGCCATGGCTTCGTTCTCGCGCTCCCTCCTCCGCGCCGGCAAGGCCGCCCCCGTGGTGCGTTCCCCATCGTCGCCGCCTGTCAGCGCCCGCACGGCCACGCACGCGGTGCAGCGTAGCGTTTCTGGCTGCTGGCTCTGGCCGCTCTCCACCCTTGAGCTAGGCACGCTGACCCTGACACTGTCCTTCCTCTCTGCTGCCATGCCTCGCGTGCCTCGTCCTTTGCCCGCCCTCTGCAGCCTTCGCTCTCTCGGGCCGCCACTCCGGCCTCGGCGCGCTTCGTCCAGCTCGCCGCCGATGCGTCGAAGCTGGCGAGCTCGGTGCCCGAGTCCAAGTCGGACAAGTTCACCGTCTCGCTGGCCCCGGACTCGTTCAAGGGCTACAAGTACGATGTGCCGCAGCTCGAGCTCGAGACGTCGCGCGAGGAGCTCGTGGGCATGTACGAGCAGATGGTCAAGATGAGGAGGATGGAGATGGCCGCCGACCAGCTCTACAAGCAGAAGCTCATCCGCGGCTTCTGCCACCTCGCCATCGGCCAGGAGGCCGTCTCGGTGGGCATGCACTTTGGCTGCAAGCCCGACGACAAGATCATCACCGCCTACCGCTGCCACCCCTTTGCCGTGCTGCGCGGCGGCACCATCAAGGGCGTCATTGCCGAGCTGCTGGGGCGAAAGGACGGCATCTCCAAGGGCAAGGGCGGTTCGATGCACATGTTCACGCCCACCTTCTTTGGCGGCAACGGCATCGTCGGCGCCCAGGTGCCCGTCGGCGCCGGCATCGCGTTTGCGCAGCAGTACCTCAACACGACCAACGCCACCTTTGCCATGTACGGCGACGGCGCGTCGAACCAGGGACAGGTGTTTGAGGCGTACAACATGGCCAAGCTGTGGAACCTGCCCGCCGTCTTTGTCTGCGAGAACAACAAGTACGGCATGGGCACGGCGGCCGAGCGCTCGTCGATGAACACGGCCTACTACACGCGCGGCGACGTCATCCCGGGACTGCAGGTCAACGCCATGGACGTGCTGGCCGTCGTCGCGGCGACCAAGCACACGGCCAAGTGGACGGCCGTCGACGGCAACGGCCCGCTGCTCATGGAGCTCGTCACCTACCGCTACGGCGGCCACTCGATGTCGGACCCGGGCACCACGTACCGCACGCGCGACGAGATCCAGACGATGCGGAGCAGCTCGGACCCGATCCAGGGCCTCAAGGCGCGCATGCTCGACTGGGGCGTCGTCGAAGAGGCCGAGCTCAAGAAGATTGACAAGGCGGCAAAGGAGGAGGTTGACCACGCCGTCGAGGAGGCCAAGAAGAGCCCATGGCCCGACGCAAAGGAGGTGTGGGACCACATCTACTACCCGGGCACCGAGCCCGACTACATGCGTGGCCGAGAGCGCGAGGAGGTCCACCGATACCGCTGAACGGTCCCCCTCTCCTGCCCCTCGCCTGCCCTGCGCGCGCCGGCTAGACTCTCTTGTACATCGTCGTCTGCCGTCCGCTCCCACGTTTTCGCGTTTTCCCCTCGCCCTTTCGTGAAGCCCTCTGGCCGTTGCCTGCATTGCGAAATCGACATTCCAGCCAAATAGCAGCAGCCACTTTCGTGTCTCGAGAGGTCGACCGAGTCGTGGTGAGAGCGGTTGCAAGGGCGTGCGTGCGTGCGTGCGTGCGTGCGTGCGTGCGTGCGGGTTGCAGCAAAGGGGGTACAAGTACAACAGGATAGGGTTCTGAAATGGGCCTCATTCAAACTCTTCTTCGTTTGTGTTCCAACGCAGCAGCGTCTTGTCGACTGTAGGTAGTGTTCGAGTCGGCCGTTTGCGACGAAACGGTAGGACGAGGAGGAGGAGTGGTCAGAGGGTGGGGCCATTCATCTCGAATCAGTCGGAGCGTTGGAGAGACGCGCTTACCTCCGATCAGGTCCAACATTCTCCCGCTACCCGGCGAAGCATGGAGGGAGGGAGAGAGAGGAAGAGGGGACAAAGTCAATCTCGTCTCCCTTCGCGTCCAAGACCTGCTGCATCGGAGGCGGGGCGGGGTACATACACGTTCCACTTCTGCTCGATGCCCTTTGTCACGTCGTCATCCCCATCGTCGTGCTGGTGGCGATCGGACCCGGCTCGCTGCGAGGTGACGCCGCCGCCGCTTGAAGCGTTGGGTCGCCGCGACGAGGCGGAGAGCGCAAACGACTCGGGGGGCGGCAGCGGAGAGCTCGAGAGGGACGAGCGCGGCAGGCTGTCGTCGTCTTCGCCCCTGAGTGCCGCGCACTGCTCCCGCGTCCCCTCGGACATGCTCCTGCGTATCAAAAAGGCCGTCCGCGGCGACGGTGGCGGACTGTCGGCATTCTGCCTGCGCCAACTCGACGTGCCGATCGCGTCCGCTCCTTCGTCGTCGTGGCGTCCCCGTTCCTCGACGTCGTAGGCTCCTGGACGGATGGAAAACGACTCTTGTCCCGCCTCGGCGGCACCCGTGAGGTTCCAGAGGTCCTGGGCGGCCATCTTTCCGGCTTCGCGCCACTTTTCGATGAGGTGCGGCAGCGTGTCGAGGGAGCGGTCGCGGATGATCTTGTCGGCCTGCCGCAGCCGACGCAGCTGGTCCTCGAGCTCTGCGCGTTCCGAGCGCTTGCGTGGCGTTAGCAATGCGCCGCGGCCGCGGCCGGGACTGGCCAGAGGTTTTGTCGGTGAAGCCGGGTAGATTGTTGATCTCGACGACGAGGGCTTGGTGGTGAACGCCTTGACCGGCGCCGGCGCAAGAGACGACGACGAGGACGAGGGGTCGGACGGCGCCCCTTTGCCGCGGACGAGAGGAGACTTGAATGGTTTGAACAGGCTCGACTTTGACGAGGCGGGCGAGGGACGGGCGTATGGCCTGCCGGAGCGTGAGGGCGTGGGCGTCTGGGCGGCGGTGGCGGTGGCGGTGGCGGTGCCTACGGCTGAGCCGGTGTCGGGCTTGAGTCTCTTGCGTGGCGTGTGAGCCTGGCCGATGTTGTGTGCCGTTGCCTCTGCTAGGGGGGCTCGTTTTGTGCTGCTGTGCTGCGGCGGTGTGGGCGGAGAGGATGGCATGAGGAGTGGTGTGCTGGCGTTGCTCGACGTGGTGCGGCTGGGAGCGTTTGCCCTTGGCGCGGGCGGGTCTTGGCTGGCCATGGTGGGTGGCGCAGACTAAGGAGATGGACGCGCCATTCTCTGCGTTGGCTCGAGTGTGCAGTTGCGATGACGAGGGGCTTGATGCGGTGCGAGAGCTGAGAGGGAGGAGGGGTTGACGGAGGTCGTGGAGCGAAGTCAAGAAGCAATCACAACGTCGAAGCGGGCGCAACCTAAATGTGTTGGTCTCTTTGGTGGGCCCTTGTGGAGGTGCAGAGGGACAGCGGCGGGCCAATGACGGGGCATCGCTCGCCGTCGAGCCTCGCTCGGCGGCGCGCCTTGGCCGAATCCACCCCCTTCCCCACTCCTCACTCCCTCCCACCACCACCACCACCACCACCACCACAACCACCATCTCTCCTCCTCCTTCAGCCAGGCGTCGTCGTCGTCGTCATCTTCGGCTGCAGAACCAAGAACCTCGCATCAAGCAGCGTGGGCCCCTCTGGCGCCGTCACACGGCCCCCCTCTGACATGGCAGACCAAGACGCACTCCCGGCACCACCGCCGGTTGCACAGGGCCAGCCGGAACTCAGCTCATCCCACGTCAGCGAGCACACACAGAGCGCCGACGAGGTCACAGGCGACAGCGCACCCGAAGATGCACAGACGGAGCTCCAATCCAACCCATCGCACGGCCAGGATGACACCCGCGACGCAGCCACGCACCGCGTAGAGGAGGAACACGAGGAACCGCCTGCCGCGGCCCCTTCGGCCCTCTCGATGCCCGAAAAGGTCCAGGACGCTCTCCGCCTAGTCCACCAGGCAAAGCTCGACGATGCTGAAAAGGCCACCACGACAGCGACAACGACGACGACAGACTCGACGCCATCTGCTCGTTTGCCCGACGACTCCCAGGCAGACCACGACGCCCACGAGTCCGACTCGCAGCGTGCCAGCCATACCGACAGCAAGCCGACGCTGCCCAGCTTAGCAACAGAGACCATCTCTGCTCCCGCAGATGCCACTCCCGCAAAGGACCAGCCGCTTTCTGCGCCATCCCGTCCAGCGGTGCCCGTATCGCCTTCCATCTCCATCGCTGCGACCGACCCCATCATCCTGGGTCTTGCCGTCGTCGACTTTGTGAGTGCCAAAGGGTCAGCCGCGCCCATGACTGAGCAGCAGGCACCTGACAGCCCTCGCTCATTTCCTCTCCCCTCTGATCGACGCACACAGAACCACCTCGTGGGCCCACAGGTAGAGTATGCCCACCCAAAGGAGCTGCTCGAGGACGAGGATCTGGTCAAGAGCCTCCCCTTCCTGGCTCTGCCGGATGGCAGCCATCTCTCCGACGAGGACTTTTGCTACTTCCACCTCAACTGCCCCAAGCTCTCCGACTCGACCATCTTTGGCATCTCGTGCAACCGTCAGATTGCCTCCGACGCGCTGCTCAAAAAGGGCGCAGAGGTGACGAGGAGCACGGTGCAGAAGGCCGTCGTCGTGCTCGCAAAGGAGCCCGTCTTTGGCCCCATTCGAGAGAAGCTCGGCATCGTCACCAGAGCCTTCTTCGCTCAAGGCGATCTTGGCGACGTCGACATCCTGGTCGAGTTTCACGCGACATTAGAGGTCGGGCTCCAGTGCGGCGGCCTGGCTGAAGACAGAGAGACGGTCATGTACATGGGTGGGTGTCTCTCTTGGCCGACGTTGGAGCCTCGGCTTTGGCTAACCAAGATCCTTCTACGCGACCGACAGGGACGTCGATACGAGAGCTGGTGCACAAGTGGCACTTCAAGACGCTGATGCTGGTCAAGCTGCTGCTTCTACAGAGGCGGGTGAGTGCATCGCGAATAAACTGGATGTCGGCCGCCCTATCTCGCGACGGCAGCATCGGCTCATCTTGCCACGCCACGACATCATCTGCTTTCAGATCATGTTTTTCGGATACCCCGTCGAGAGGCTCTGCACCTACCAGTACTCCCTGGTCTCCCTGATACCTAGTGAGCAGGCAGACTGCCTGCCGGCGCGCAGCAGCGGCTGCAGCAGCAGGTCCTCATTGGGATTCTCTCTGACCTCATTCCTTTGCCCCTGCCGCCATGCCCACGCCAGGCCTCCTGCTCAACCTTCAGGACGCCTCGGATCCGCAGGCCAAGAGCCAGGAGTCGAGAGCCGAACAGGCCGAGAGCCTGCGCACCTCGGACCGCAAGAGCCTGATGAAGTACCTCGGCATGCCCCTCAACATCTTTGGCGAGGTGAGCACCGAGCGCTGCTCCGCCGGCCTCGCTGTTGACGCGGACAGAAGCTCATCCTGCTCCCATCCGCGAATGAATTCTCGCAGAGTTCCTTTTTCCAGCCATACTGCCCGCTCCAGCAGATTGACCTGCTGCAATCGAGGAGCTGGCTGGTGGGAACCAGCAACAGCATCTTCAAGCAGCAGAAGGATTGCAAGATTGACGTCGTCGTCGACGTGAGTCTCATGGCCAGCTGCACCTGCACGCCAGTGCCGAACATTCAAGGACGCTGACGCTGACCGACTGTGCCCTCTTTCGCATCGAGTGTAGCTCGAGACGTCAACGCTAGAGTTCCAGGACCTCAGGCTACAGCAGATCGTCGGCCTAACGCCGGCGGACCGCAAGTGGATGGACGAGATCGTGCACACGGTCAATGAAACGTGGAACCCTGCCGACCCGACGCGGCCTACTTCGATGGGCTACCACGGCAGCGACGACTACCTGAGAGCCAAGGTGAGTGCGAATCGTTTGGCAGCTAAGCACCTCGAACCAGCGCGGCATAGCTGACGCTTGTCCTGCTCCCTGGCCGCAGTTCGAGGACTACATCTGCGCGATGCTCTCGTCTACGCGATATGCAGACTTCCTCGCCAAGAGCGATCCGGATCAGGTCTCGATCACGGCGCCAGGTACGTGTCTCTTCGATCCAGCCCCTCTTCTCGCGTCGTGGACCTTGCTGACACCTGCCCGCTTTGATCGCTCCCTCGTCTCCCTCGCACCGGCCGGCCCTTGGAACCAGACGCATCGTCGTCGCACCACTTTGGCACCGAATACCTGGCGGCACTGCGTGGCACCAACGCGTTTGCCATCTGGCAAAGGACGACGGACCCGATGCTCTTTGACATTGTCGACCACAAGCACCCTTGCGAAGGCAAGACGTCGGCCATCGAGGACGTCGGGCTGCGCCTCTCTGCGGGCCTGCACGACCTGCGCCTCGAGGAGAACCTGGGACCGACGCGCGAGGCCATCGGCAGCGCGATCCAAGCCGGCGGTGCCAACATCTACCGGCTGGCGAGCAACTTCCGCACCGACTTTGCCAAGTTCCGAGCCGCGCAGCTCGCCGGCGGCGTCAACCCGATGGGCATGCTCGGCGGCCTGGGCGGGGGCGCGGCGGGTGGCGAGGACAAGGATCGATCTCAGCTGCAGGCTGCTACTGGGAGCGGCGGCGCAGCGTCTTTGACGCCGTCGTCGGCCTCTTCTTCATCCTCTGCCGCGACTGGTTCGGCTGCCGGTGCTGGGCAGGGCAAGGGGACGATTACGGGCGAAGCGATTGATGCGAGCGGACGACGGACCAACCGCTCCTCGCTGCGTCCCCTGTCGCTGGTGGGCGGGACAAGTCTATCGACGACGGGCGGGGCCGTCCCGACCAACACCATCCACACCTCCAACGCCAACGCCAACGCCTCGACGGCGGCGGGGGCCGGAACAACGACGGCATCGACCTTGACGGGCTTTCATGCCAACGAGGCCATGAATGCCGCGAGCCAGGCGGCGGCGCAGGCGGGCACCCAGGTGCGCGCGGCGTTTGGCTCGTTTGGATCCTTCCTCTCGTCTCGCCAGAAGGCATGGAGCGCCTCCCGCACGCCGTCGTCGTCATCCTCCGTCACTCCTGCTCCCGCTCCCGCTCCTTCCTCGTCGTCGACGCAGCAGCAGCAGCAGCAGCAGCAGCAGCAGCAGGGTGGTGGTACCGCCACGGAACCTTCGTCGACCGACCTGGCCTCGGATACGACACCCAGCGCTCCGTAAGCGCCCTCGTGGCGTGGCGTTCTGCTGCACATCTCCCTCCCCCTTCGTCTTCTGCCTCTCTCTTCCCTCTTCGTCTACACGAGCTAGGCTCCAGTATCGACATCTTCTCGGGCTTGGTCGAGTGCGAGTAAAGGGCCATGCTTCATCCCACCACCATCACCAACCCGTCGGCAGGCGAGAACGAGAGCAGTTTCGAGACCGGATCGAGATTCGAACAGCGCAAAGCGGTAAGAGGAGAAGGAAAATCGAGGTCGTGGTGTCAGGAAGTTAGAAGGGGGAGTGCGGGAAGAGAGAAAGCTAGAGGCCGGGAGTATAACTACACAGTGCGAAAGAAGGGAAGAAAGGCAGGGGTGGAGGTGGGGGACCTGAATGAGAAACGGGGGGTAGCAGCAACTAGAGGGTTGAGACCCGAGGGAGCGTTGGGCTCAGTCCTTGTTGCGCTGGTACTGCGCGACGAGCATGGCGTGGTCGCGCTCGTAGGGTTCGAGGGTGAGCTGTTCTCTTGGGCGGAACTTCATGCCCTTTAGCTTGTTGACCTCTGCGGCAAAGACGGCCTCGGCGGGCGCCGTCGAGTCGATGCAGCTGGCCTTGATCGAGATGAGGGCGTGTCCCTCGTTGCGCAGGAACGAGTCGGCATTGTGCGCCACGATGCGCGCCTGGTCGGGCTGGGCGACGTCGGCGAAAATGACGTCGACGGTGCCGACGAGCATGCGGTACTTGTGCGGGTGCCTGGCGTCCTCGACGATGGGGATGACATTGGTGCGCTTCTTGGCCATGTTGATCAGATCCCGTCCGGAGCGGTGCGAAAACTCGACGGCGTAGACGATGCCCTCGGGCCCGACCAGGTCGGCCACGTGCGACACCGAGGTGCCTGATGCGGCGCCGAGGTAGAGGACCTTCTTGCCCGGCGCAATGTGGATGTGGTCCAGACCGCCCAGCACACCGGCGGCCAGCTTGGATCGGAACGGGTTCCAGACGCGGTACTCGGTCTTGATCGACGTGCCGTCCGGACCGGCACCTGGCGTCTCGACCGAGATGCGCTTCTCGCCGTAGACCGACTCGCCGGGCGCAATGTTCTTGGTGACCAGCAGGTGCTCCTTGCCCTTGGCGACAAAGATGCCCGCGTGGCGGTGCGGCTCGACGATGACGTTGGAACCGTCCCCGGGCACCTCCGCTGGCACCGCCGCGTCCACCGACGCGAACGGCCCTTACCGTCGGCCGTCCGCGGCCTTCGAGGACGACACCTCGTCCCTCCGA